CGTCGGGTAGTAAAGAATGTTGAATTAGTTTGAGGTAATAATTTATGGAAGTCTCCTCAACGTTTCGTATGAAAGACCAGCGCAGGCGTGATGGATATCTCATCATACATTGGGAGTTCGCTGGAATTTGTAGAGTTGTCCGAAACGGTGTTGAATTATGTGCACTCCAAGCAGAAGTGGTTGAGCTGGTCAAATAGACCAGGCACTGATGTCCAAGCATTTGTGTTGGCCAGTGTGCGGCTAAGCATATTGGTCAAACTAGCTGTCATCAGCACCTGATAGGTGAAAAACCAGAAGCCGGTGCCCAGGAGATTTAGGCCCTGAAAGTTGTAGTCAGTAGTGACCTGAAGACGGCTGCGCATTGCACTGAAGCCGCAGCAAAGCGTTTTCACACCCCGCGTTCTTTTCACAAGGTATTCAAACGCTCCAATAGAGATATGTTTTGGGTCCTGCGCCCCACGTTCTCATGACTCCACCTCAAAAACGGAACTCAAACTACCAGTTCTGTCTCCATAAAAAGCGTTGGAGCGCATTTAAAGACTTAGCACTAAGTGGGTATACATAGCCAGTCTCGTGAGGCGCATTTAAAAGATCTAAATCTTTCCCACCGTCTAAACGCAGTAGAAGAGGGGATCTATTGTTGGCACTTAGCGGCAAACCTGAAAAAGCGAAGTTAGCTTTCTTTTAGGCGCATACAAGTAACATGATCTTCACAGAGGAACCTGCTGCAAGGAATGGTGTACCAAATTGTCTTATTAACCTCGCTGGTGAAGACTGACTGGGGTCTTTTTGAGGTGAAACTAGATCACATTCCGGGATAGGCACATAGTCCTCGGCGGTAACAAACGCGGTCCTATTACGAAATTTTCTTCTTGGCGGATGGAAGTGCACTAGAGCTGCTTGAAATATTGAAATAAAATACCACGGTATTCGTAATATGTGAAAAGTCCAACCCATATGAACGCCGCGTGGTTCGCCTCCAACATTTACGCCACCCTAACAGATAATAGGTGGGTGAAAATCTGAGCATGGGACCATAAGCTGAGCTGAAAGTTCGCTTCACCGAAGACTGCAGTGTAGGTAACAAATGGCGCTTGCCCAGTCCCATCCCCGAAACAAACGTTTCAGGCGTTAATGACGTTTAGGAAGATGGCCACCAGTGAATTAGTGAAAATGACGTACATCTAAGAAGACTTCCTCGCCTCAGAAAAGATGCAAAACTTCTCGGCCGTGGTGTCAGTCTGTGTGTAAAGAAGCTGTTCTTGAATTCAGAATATAATTGTGTCTGGCGGTCGACAATGTTAATTATTACGTTATTGACTAAAACGCCCGCTATATGCCATTATTCTTAACGTCAGACGGTGACTTTTTGTCGGACCGTCTGGATATTCAAACAGTTAACTCTTACTCATGGTCGTTTGTAGGCGACCTCAACGAATCACCAGTTGACCACAGCAGGCGGGAGAAAACATCATAAAAAAGCTCAGTTTACTATGGGTTATTAAAAACTTTCATCTTTCCAGTTCATCTGTGAAACATCAGGAGGGTTAACAAATACTGTCACCTGAGTGTTGCCGAGACTTTGAGCTTATTCCTTCTTCTCCCTGATGCCGTAGGTTTAACCCAGCACTCCCCACCCACACTTTAAAATCGCCTTCGGGCTCTCCGATACCTAGATATGAAGGTCACGCTTCCCAGCTTCACAGTGTGTTTGCAGTAAAATACATCCAGTCCCGCTTGTCTCATAGGAATGATGGGAACGAAATGTGTTGCGACGTCAATTCATAGTGAATAAGATGAAGTGTTTAGTTGGTTGGTAATAGCAAGCAGAAGCAGGGGCTGCGGCGAGCTAACTTTCCGGGGCATTCCTGTAGAAAACAAGGCCAAAATCGGTTTGGATAGATGAATTGTTGGTAGTGGAGAGATATTACTTCGTGAGCATTAGGCGTGGTGATATATTCGCGACCATTGGTGCCGTAGATACGAGGCAATCAGCCGGTTCAAACTAGCTAAGCACGAGGCTGTGTAGAAATCTCGAGACCTATGTGGCTGTTTCATTGAACACGATACCTAAACTGTCGTCAGCTTTATTTATGTCAGATGCACACAAATTTAAAAACGGAATCACAGACAGTAACCAACAAACCACAGCCCCGATAAGCCTGCCAGTTGTCATAGTTACAACCCTAAGCGGAGCTGACGGGAAAACCGATTTGGCCCACTTGAAAGGTAACAACTGTCCAGCCATCACGACATCTGAAGAAACCTATTTTGCATTGCAGAGTTACTGATGACAGAAATCCTGTAGATGTCGCAGGCTGCTTCAAGGCTAGCAGCAGAATCTTCGTTTTATTCCATCCGAGACTCATCGGATGGATGCACCTGAACCCCAATGAATGGCGATTTCCCCGCTTAGACTACAGTGCAGTAGCAATTGCTTCAAACACCTTGAGGTCATTCAGGGGATCACTGAGGCACGAAAGCCAACTTTCAGATGCTATTTGGATACAGTCCTCCTGCTGCGTGTGTTTTGATTTCGTTCGTTTAATGTATTCAAAAACATTGACCACTCCTTTTATTTGACTTCATTCGATTTGTTTGTACTACCATATTTAACCTCTTGCTTCGATTAGCGTTGCAATTGTATTTCATTTTGGATAGAAACTGCAGTAGCCGTCAAAATTGCAGGTTTGTCACCAAGTTTCAGACATATATTTGGTTGTGAAGAACAATTTTCGCTGGGTTCACTTGCTGTTGGGATATACATTCGTTTTTGGCAACCAATTGTTTTGGATTTGGTCGGTTTTCGCTTTGGGTTTTCGGGAACCCCGAGAATTCATGTCTTCGCCACTTGTTACTCAGCGGATTTGACGCAACACTGCCGTCCGAAACTGCTCATGAACTGAAGGGGCTCGATAACTGTAATGACAGTCACTTTACCCTGGACAGCAATCTTAAGCACGACTTAGAATCGGGAGTGTGATATTTCAGCATTAGATGAGGAGTCGTATGAATCAGAGCGTGGCTTGCTATCCGGGAAACGGCCAGTAGGGCAGACTCATAACTGACATCCTAGAGGCTGACAAAAAGTGAAATGCCAATAGGCGCAAACCCTAATCCCCCAGCAGTTCTTTTGTGGATTAACCAACCGGGCACTGTGGTGGAATCTGAAGGCCTCAAGCTAACTGATGACGTGAAAGCTTAGAGGTAGTAAAACATGATGACAGTGAACAATTTGATAACTAGCTCAGAAAATGGCTCACGTTAGTCAAAGTGAGTACGTTTCAAGACGTGGACCTGTGAGAACGAACAATAATAGTTGACCATTGAGAATAGGGGTTGAGGCTGTCTAACCGAAGAGACCTGCAAGCGGAAATCAAAAGACTGGATGCTACCTTTTTTCGTGGTGGTATTCAGAAGTGCTTATGGTTCTTGAAATACCTTAGTAACGCAATAGGTAAGGCTAAGCAATCCCTGTATCATAGTAATTTTTGCGTGCTACTGGAGCAGGGCTTTTATATTTGTCCTGGGACCATCTTCTGCTTCCGGTGGACTGCATGCTAGAAGCCAATAGAGAGTGGCGCCTCAACCCATCTCGCAGAGGTTTAGGACGAGGTTGATAAAACAGGTGACGTGTGAGTGATACGGAGAACTATAGGGAACCTCTACGAGCAGTGCCGAAAAAAATAAGTACCTAGAACTGGAAAGAGAGTAGCTGTCTGAAGTATACACAAAAATATCTACCTCCCACTTTGATGGAAGGGGATTTTGATAAGATCAATGAAAGCAACAGGCTTGAATCACAAAGTATTGGGAATTTTTCCGAAAGTGAACAAGTCATTCACTTCCCAAAGTAAACGGTAAATAAAGTAGGAGTGAGGAGCGATAGAAAGTCATGGTGCGGTGAAAACGGAATATTCTCAGGTGGTCTAAAACCAAATCTTCAGAAGAATTATCCCCATAAAAATTTATGTACTGTAGAGTGAATCGATTCATTAGGAATGCTTTCGTAATGAATATTTGCACCCATTGCTTTTATTTGGTTTTGGTAATATTTTGAGCAAAATTAAATAACACCACTGTGTGCTCAGTGTCTTCGGGAATCAGTCACGACATATTCGCGATGCTATGCGCAGTCCTTGAGAGCCCGGTCACTTTGTGCAGGAGACAAGTTCCCTACCGCTGAGTGACTCTGGAACTGTAGAAGGGGTTCAGAGAATAGTCACTCGTTACCTCTAAGTCGGCCAGTTTAATTTATGAAAAATGAAACTGGAATATCCCTTTCTTAACCAGCTGCACGTCAAAACATTTAAAACACATAACAAGTGATTGGAAAAGTATGGGGAAGGTGTTATCACCGTGCTCTGTCAGTTGCAATTCTCAGCAGTCAATTTATGAAGCCGACTGTCGGCCGAAGTGGTGTTGGTATCCTGAAGTGATTCACTTGAAAAAGTGCTGGACAAACACAAAATTATGGTAGAAGAGGGTTATCAGCGGCCAATCGGTTTCCGTTGCTGAGCCATAAATATAAATTGGAGTCTTCAATCAACCGTTGAAGTCAGTATAATCAATATCGAAGTGAACTTTGAGAACGTAAATGTATGACCACTTCTTATTCCTTTATCTCTCAGTTCATATCGCTATGCAGCCATTAAATGGTGATTACTAACCCACAACTTAAGCTTTCTGGTACGCGGTCCCAAGCTTCCCATGACATACGATTATGTTAAAGGTGTAACCAGTGTAACTGTTATCGGCTTAGGGTAACTTACTGAATAACCGTTCAAAAAAATTGAGATGGAAGCCAACAACGAAGAAGGTGGTTGGGATATACATATTAGAACTACTAAAATTTGGCGTCAAGGCAGCTATTATACTTTTTGTTTAGCTGCTGCACAATGTTCTGTATTCATGACAAAATACTAGCGTTTTTACAAATAGTTTAGCAATTACTCTGAATTGACAATATAATTTTTATTCGGTGTTTTTAAGTAATCAGTATGGATTCAAAGAGTCCGTCTTATGACTACAGCTCACCAAAAAGTGAAAAACGTCGCTTTTCATTTTATGATTCAAAGGATGAAAGCCAAAGAAGAGTTGAATGTTGTAACCATAAAACATGTCACTTGGATCGGTATAACCTAATAAGCAGCGTTAGGCCTTTCACGTCAAGACCATACACGTTGTATAAAGTTATAGTTACAACTGCAGATGTCCCCGGTGCTGGTACATCCGCACAGGTATGATTAGTTAACATTTTGATTTTTTGAAGGTTTACATCACACTCAAGGGTGAATGGGGTTCGTCTACTCGTCAAAAACTGAGAAAAGATAGGATTAATTCAAAATATTTTCGGTTGCATCTGTGTCCGGGATCTACACACACATTTTCTGTAGTTTCCCCTGATCTTGGAGGCTTGCAGTCTGTGTTTATTGAGGTAAACAAAAACTTGACGCAGTAAAACTTTGATTTCAGAAACATTATATAAAGATAAACTACATGACTTGACAATTCAGTAGTTCTCATTTATCCGTGACTTACACTCAAAGTTCACAGAGTTTTGTCAAAACAATCATGCATTGAGTACCCAGTTTATTATTAAACTAGACCTTAATTGGATACCAATAAACGCTTGCTTACACGTTGATTTACCGGTCTCCGCGCTAATATCTGTCGTTTTTTGGTTGCAATTTTGCAGTCAAACTTTCATTTTTGAAGTTATTTAGACTTTTGGGTTTAACATTTAATTTTCCAGAAGAAATTGTTGTTTACGTTGTGTATTCCAACGATATGTCATTAAACTCAGCGAAGATTTACTGGCTGAATGTATTTAAGGTGCTCAAAGGGTGCAATGGTAGTTTAACTAGAATGCTCTTCATAGTTATTAGGTGTATTTTCTGGTTTATCTAGTGTGTTGGATACAGTTTGAAAGGATAGTAATACCGTAAAAAGTTAGAGAAATTAATGAGAACGTTATTCGTATATCAGGTGAGTACAGTTAGTGTGTTCACACCCATCAGTTATCGAAGGCAAGACTGATGAGTAATGTTCATACTGGAAAGTAGAGCGATGTGAAGTTTAAAAGTAGAAAGGAGTCTATCAGGTTTAAGAAGTTCTTCAAACCTAAGTTTCTTTTTGCCTTATAAGCAACCTGGCTTAAATATTTCCGCACATTATGTTTTCTGAATTTGCCTATAGTACTAATATTTTACTTCTACGGAGACAGTCAAGTAGACCGGTTTCCTGATACGATTTGCGCCTCATATTATATGAGCTGGATTTATGAGGTTTTCACCATTTGTATTGTTGAGCCAAAAGATTATGTTGGGGAACGTATTTCATACAAAAGCATAAAACCCTCTCAAAAGTAGGAATAATTGACGGATAAAGCTGCAAATAAAACAAAACACAACTAAACCTTAGGCTTGTTTTAACTCTGTATAAGACTAGCTCATGAAATATAAAAGAAAGTCAAATTTTATTACGGAAGAGTTGTAGTTGGAAGAAAATGAAAACAGTCCTAAATGGTCAGTTTTATGCGACATTTCAAGAACAAACTTTTATTGGGGACTAGTCAAGAATTATTTAGAATTTCAGCAAAATTTCAATTGCACCTGCACGTAGTGTGATATAATCTGGAAAATGAAATGTTAAAATCAGTATGGATTTACTTATTTGGGAAGTATGAGTAAATCATTCACTAACAAATAAGAAAAAAGTGAGTTTTCATTTTTGTTTCCCAAAAAAAGTCGTTTTGTTCCCATAAGACGAAGTGTTAGGCTACTTTACATGTTTGTTTCCCTTAAATATGTGTTTCAGCATAAAAGAATCATGAAAACAGGGAGTAACAGTCAAAGAGGAGGTTTAAAAGCCTGTAGAGTTAAAAAGCTAAGTATGAAGAAATTTGTTAGAAAATGTAAAGCGTCTGGTTAATTCAACTTCTGTAGAGACCTACGTATCTTTGGCATAAGTTTTGGTGACAAAAGGTTGTTGGTCAGAAAATAAAGTTATATTACAAGAAATCTATTAATTTTGCTGGATCTTTTTATCGGTGGATATGCTTGATGGCTTTTGCTTTGTCTTAGTATCCTTAGTCAAAAGGTGAAACAGAAATCAACTTGGTATATTCTGTTAACCTAGTAGTGCGATAGTTAAAGTCATTGCAGATTTCGTAAGTTTTCTGACTAGACTGCATCTTTTCGCGAATAATGATTGATTATGTTATAAGGGCGTGTCAGTGTCATTAAACTGACTTTCCCAGTCAGAAGTAGGCAGGGAGGAACCTACGTCTAGTATCCACTGATCTAAAGTTAGGCAAATCAGCTGATAAGTTGCATCTCAACATAACTACATATGAAAATTATTGTTGTAATTATCATCTTTAAAGTCATCACTACCTTTCTGAAATAAATGCAGGTACTTTACGACCAAAGAGTATTGTATGCACGGGAAAGTATCAACTTTTGGCTTCAGTACCGAATAAAGGTTTTACTAAGATTTCGTGAATAATAAAGATGAACCTTATAAAAAAGGGCTTATGAAGTCCCCAGAAATACCGATTTACATTCACTTATTTCCATCGGTCTATCCTCATATTCCCGAAAAGTGGTCATTTTACTTCCGCCTTTATCCATATTATTTGTTCCTTCGTTACACGTTCCCTATAAATTTACTCCATACTGCGCTCTTAAAAACCCAGAAGTTTTGATGTGTTCAGGTCTTCTGTGTTTTTCTATCTTTCGCAACGTAAAGCACGAAATATTCTACTCAAAACACTGCTTCTACAAATGAGTGTTCTTCTGAACAGATTTTGATGTTCACACTGTTTGAGCGTCATCGAACTACGATAGGTCGCGTCATACGCCTAAACAGAAGTGTTTAATTATTATCGGAGTAATGTGAATAGTTAAATTAAATGGGTGCTCATTACCTTCATTTCATCTGTTTATTATTAGCATGATAGTTTAAAGAAAACTGATAGCTGGCTTTTGGAAAGTGTTCAAGTTTATCATCCTCTAACGAAAAGGCGTTATATGTTCATTTGTAATCATTGGTTTTCATTGTATAAAGAAGATGGACTCATTGCACGTGAACTATTTGGAATAAGAAGTGCGAAAACAAGTAAATTGTGATGTAAAGTAAATATATACCACTAAATAATATTTCCTCAACTTTCAGAATATTCAATTGTAACTGTAACTGGTGATCAAGAAGGATCTGGAACAAACAGTAAGGTATATATAACCATTTACGGAAGGACTGGAATCACTCCAAGAATCGAATTAAGTCAGGAAAATAAAAGTTCAGGAAAAGATATTTTGTGTGCACCTTTTGCACGTGGTACAAGTACGAAATTTATTGTTAAAGCTCCTAATGTCGGTGCAATTACCAATATTCGTATAAAACAAGATGAATTAGGAAGTGAACCTCATTGGTTTTTGGAACGTGTGGCAGTAACAGATTTGTCATATCCTCAATGGACTTATTATTTTCATTGTTCCTTTTGGCTGTCCAGTAAATATGGTGACAATAAATCATGTAGGCTTGTTCGAGGTTATCGAGAGCCTACTGGAACAGGTGTTGGTAAGTTACGATAAGGTTCCAGTTTAAACGGATTTATCTTCTATCGAAACTCCGTTTTTCAGTCAGGGTTTGTGTTTAATGCATATATTTTGAGTTATGCTTCATTGTTCAGGATATCTTTTCAGAAGCTATAAATTATTATCAAGGTGATATTCATCACAGACTGACATCATTTAGAGAAACACTGAAAGCATTGGAAACTCGTTAGCCCTTAGGCTTTAGGGTCGGTCGACAGCATCTTACTTCTGTCATTTCGCGATATAGCATGGCTTTCCACTAAGACTTTCAGTTGGCATCTGCTTCAGGCCCTACTGATTAACCTTACAACCCATGGCTTCAAATTAAAACCTTGAGATACCCATCTGGAAGCACGTCATTAGTGAGCACTATAAAGTAATATAGTTTGAAGTATATGGGGATTTTTCTCAAGTTGGTATTCATCATGGGCTGACCTTGGCGGATAACTACGCCGCATCACGAATTGACAGAAGTAGGACATTGTGAACCATTGAACTCAAAGCTCTTGGCTGAATAGTTGACTCGTTCGCCGTGAGTCCTGAGGGTCTTGAGTTCAGTCTGTCATGGTATTTTGGGTGTATACTGCTAAAAAGAAGCAGCTCTCAGGTGCCCATAGGTTTTCAACGGTTCTCCAAATGATGTCTGTCCAGGATGAATACTACCCAGAAATTAAATCCCCGTAGGCCTCAAACAACATAAAAACTTACTCACATATGAACAAGAAGGTGCATTTTTGCCATTCAAGAAAGGAATTTTATGCAGAAGCTGCTGAAATTGCAAAAATCCTAAATTCGAATGAAAATTTCGATTGAATACAACCATATAACCAACACTATAAAAATACTCTTAATAGTGTGAACGAACCAGTATCGTAAGTTTCACGAAGTTTATATGGAATTCTGTTTCTAAATGTCTATTAATATATTTGTGAACTGAAATGGTGGAGAATATTTGTGGCCCATTTGCATTACTATATGTGTACATATGATAGGGATCACTAGAAGCAGAACTTTTACGAAAAAATAAGGTGAACTGAAAGAAAATGGAATTAAAATAAGGTAGAGCTAGATGTATGAAACATGTGGTGAAAAGCGGTAAGTTAGGTTCAGGGTAGTGAAAGGGACCGCACAAACTGTTTCTGCATACGTAGTTCTGGTTTAAGATTATGTATTGCCAAGACTTTTGCGATACACAGTAGTTGTATGCGCGAACCATTCGATAAATTTCATTTGATTTTATAAATGATGTCAAATGACAATTCAAAAGCTGCAAAGCGGAATGTGGAGATATAAGTTTATACGACCTCTAGCTCCTAAATGATTATTTGACATTATTAACAAGACATATAAGTGAACGACATTCTCTTCAAGTAGATCCACTTCAGGCTTTACTCCAATATAAATGCCTAAAATATTTCAGAAGTCAAGTCAGACTTATAATAATAATATATTCGCTTTATTCTAAGCCATAACTGTCTCTACAGTACAGAATTATTACCATGTGATGTGACTGACTAACTGCCAGAATCAACGCAGAACCCTGCACCGGAGTGAACCGGATCAAGTTTCTACACTACCCAGTTGTAAACATAGAACAGGTGGATAGAAAAAAGGGTGATATCAAAGTAGACAAGGTAATGTGAGAGAATAAATAATCTGAAGATAAAAGTTAGCGCAAATGTTCAAGCTTTATAAGATGTCAAAGAGTGAATAGATCTACATCACTGTAACCGACTTTTGGCCATATCACCAAGAGCCCTTAACCACTGATTCCTTTCGTCTCGAGGACCCCAGTCAGGTAGTCTACATCTCCCTACATGGTTCAGGCCACCAGTTAGGGACTTCATACACTGGTCTCATGTCTTGGTCTGGCCATCCTGAGCCAGCTTCTAACCTAATCCAACTTCTCCTAGAATGGTGCGTCAAGTTAGGTGGTGGCTGGACATGCGCATTGCATGTTCAACCCATCTCAATCAACTGAGGTTCACATCCTCATCAATTGACTTGCTATGTTGTTTGGTACCTTTTGCCTGACCTCAGCATTGGTCACACGGTAATTCCACCAAGTGTGAGCAATGTCACGAAGACACATGATCAAAATCGTTTGATCGTTTCGTGTCTTCTACTTTTAACAACCATGTCTCAGAGATATATATTAGGACAAAATAGACCTCAGCGCAGTATGCTCGTCGTTTGGCAGTTAGTCAGATGTCTCGTCGGCTGGCACTAAAGGTAACGCAAGTTGACGAATGCTAAACAGGTCTTCTGTGTCAAAGCTGAGATTTCGTCAGCAACCAGCTCCCCAAGTAATTGAAGTGGTTGACATGTTCCACCACTTCACTCCCTACCATTAAACTGAAGGTAATTGTAGCAGACCGATCCTGGAGCATCATCTTACACTTGACAGGTGTCGATGAAACACATGCTAAACCTGTCCAGATTTCTACTCAACGCATCCAGAAGACTGCACTTTGTCAGCGTCTTTACCTAGCAGGACAACATCGTCTCCAAATTCCAAGTCAACTAGATGACCTCTAGGGAGTAGGTCAATACCTGTGAAGTCAGACGTACATATGGTTATGCCATTTAGTACGTCTATGACGAAGTTAAATAGGAATGGTGACAGTGGACATCCCTGCTGGACACTGCTAGTTGTTGTCAACTCACTTGACAACTCTCCATAAGACTTGACTCGGCTGTGTGAGTTCGAGCAGAGAACTTTGATAAGCATTGGTACTCCCTTCATAGTCAGACACTTTCAGAATACCTCAGTGTCAGTAGAATGAATTGCCGTCTTCAAGTCAAGAAATATGGCAAGTATCGGCCACTGGCCGGTGATTATACTCGCGTTTCAGAACCTGTCGGAGGGTGAGAATCTGATCGATGCACCCTCTACCAGATCTGAAACCTACCTGGTTTTCTCGAGTTTGCTGTTCTGAAGCTCTACTTAGGCGTCGCATAATTATGAACGCTAGGATATCGGATAAAATATTAGTCGAGCTAATCCCTCTATGGTTGTCACAAAATTCCTCCCTATTCTTATAAACTGGGATGATCAATGAACTAGACCAGTCTGACAACACTACGTCTGATTCCCATACGCTACGTAGTTCGTCTGTCACTCTTACCGGTAATTTTCTACCTCCATCCTTGAAAACTTCAGGTGTCAGATCCTGCTGCTTTCCATCGTTTCAGGTTCGACACAGCTTTCTCAACTTGATATCGCATACTTTCACTCGTTGTACAACATTTTTCAAATATGTGTTGACAATGCTGCTATTTAATAACATGTCATGAAGAATAACATGGCTGTTAAAATGTTTAATGATTTCACGGACATTGTAACTGTTCACTGTTGCAAAGTTGATTGATAAGACTATGTCTAACATGATTTTCTTTACATAATCCACAAGCTAAATAAGGTAGTACGGTTGAATTTTGTGTGTAGTTGTGGGTGGATAGACTTTAATATACTTGCTTCATGTCTTCCTGGAGGACAGTTATGTCATCGGATAAAATACTTTTAGCCAGTTGTCTATCCACGACTGGACTTATCAGTACGCTTAGCGGTGTACTGGTTGCTCTACTAACAGTAGATGAACTTATTAGGTTATTTAATCATCAATTAAATATGTGATTTTTTGATTTGACTATCTTTAGTTAGCTTGAAATCATATAGGAGAATCTAGATAGTTAAGTGGAGAAGTACAGTGCAAACAGATATATGACCCAAAATGGGTTGGTAAAACTAGAAGCTTAATAGAGTTGATATAGTTCCATACATCAACTAGTAAAGCTTTATTCAGCTTGTCTAACGGACGTTAACTAGCATGAGAATGTTCTGGAGGCTTTTCTAAATCTCATTTATTATCTGTTGGTCGCAAAAACACATCCCAAATGTATGGTATTTTTTCTCTAAGAAGATTCTGTGAAAATACTGAAGTTCTATTTACCTTGAAATGATCAAAACAAACTTATTGTCACTGAAATGCCTAGAAGCGCTAGATAAAGTTGTGTTTAGTGATATGATTTACATTTACGGTAGTAAACTTTTCTGTACTTTGTTATGCTCAAAGGGAATCAACCCCATAATTGTGTTATACACCTTCAATATAATTTCCAAGTAATTTATAGTAGAAACAGAAATCTGAAGAACGTGACTTATTGTATGCTTTTTGAAAAAGGGGTTATATCTCAAACTGATCGGAAAAATTAAGTGTAAGCGCGTTGATTGCAAGCAAAACTTTCCGTCTATTCGTTTTGAGTTAGGTCAATATGCGTATAATACGTAGGTATTATTTATTATCTAGGTAATATTCAATGTTGAATAAATGAGGATATTCAATGTATATGCTGAATTTATTCATTTCTGAGAAGAACTTTATTATTTTATAAACTACTGGTGTACTTGATACTTAGATAAACTCTCTATTATTTGAAGGATCACTTTCCTCATAAATGAAGTCTTATATATATATATATATATATATATATATATATATATATATATGACTAAGTAATTCGTAAATACACTAGGAACTTCGTTTCAAATCGTTCTTGCTCACCTTCCTTAAGGAAAGAGATGAAGGTACAATTCGTTGCTTGAAATACCACACCGATATGATTACAATCTATCATCTTGCTCAAGATCTCTACATAATCTACTGATCAGAAAATAATATTGATAGACACTGGGGTACAGATGATTTATCACAACAGTCATTAAAGATCTTAGCACCTAAAAGGACCTACTCGAATGGCATTGTTGTAAGTAATTTTCTCTTCAAGGTCAGTTATTGAAAACTTTTAACTTCCAACCGCCTATCACAAAATGATTTCAGTCACCTGAATCGATTTGTAATAATACCATAGAACTAACTTTTATAGAGACTAATATTGTAATCACATAGTCGCAAATTCTAGTATTTAAAGAAAGTTACAATATTCTAATGTAGTTTTCAGCACGGACAAACGTTGAAAAACTAGAAGTAATGGATAAGTGTTTCATACTGCTTTGGGACTCCTAGAGATAGTGTGTACACACTATCACATTAAATAACAAGCATACCACGGTGATGTCTAGTGGTGACCTCGCAAACACCCAGTAAGTAAACTTGAATTCGATAGTCTGCACTTTCCTAACTAACTCAATTTAGAATTTATAGTGCAACTATCACAGGGTGCTGTCGAGGGCTACTTATTTTCTTACCTGACTTTATGACCTCCAGGAGTCACGGTTTCTCACTGAAACTTCAGGAAGCTTATTTCAAAGCATGTCACTAATGGGGAGTCAACAATATACAGTTAACTGGTAATATGTTTTCATTACAGATTGACATGATATGTGTTCAGTACTATTTCAAATTTCTTAGAGAAGATAATGAATTCAATCAAGAGAATATTTTCTGATTTCTCTTTTACGAAATGTAGACAATTGGTAGAACGATTTTAGAGATGATCTGAAACACCTATAGACTATTAGATATGCCTAATCCTAATGCCAAAATGAAGTATTAGATTTCAGTGAATCAGTTTCCAAGTTCCTTTAACCTGTTTTTATGGTTTGAAAGCAATAATAATATACGAAAATAACTTTCATTCATGTTTTTTTTTTTCAAGAAACAGAATACAAACTAACATTTTATACATCTGACAAATTGGATTCTGGTACAACAGCTGAAGTATATGTAAAACTTTATGGCGAAACAGATTCCAGTAGAGAAATTTGGTTGAATTCAATACAACAAGTTGATGAATTAAAACCATTTTATTATCATTTTACTCGAGGTTCAATTGTCGAGGTTTGTTTACCTTCATGTCCACAACTTGGTGAAATTACTAAGCTCAAAGTTGGACATAGTAAAACTGGTTCTTCACCTTCATGGTTGCTTAACAAGGTATAGTATTGAAAATAGTTTTTTAAAGTATATTTAGTTATGAAAATGACAAGTATTTAGAAAATTTACATTATAATTTACTGTGCTACTTTGATCATCTCTCACGAGTGAATGAATGAACCTCTCCATACGTATCTTTCAGAGAAGCGTCTAAGTAACCAGTAAACTCCACTGTGTAACTAAATTCCATCAAGTTCCTGTGTTTTGACAACCTAACTGACCCAGATAAGTTGATTTAGATTAGGTATTTGACCCCACAACTGTTTGGTAGATCAAATTATCTTGTCTAACCAAAACAATCGGATTTTCAAGTCGACAAATTTTATCTCTGAGTTGAATTGTAGGTTTGAATGCAATTTTACCTTCAACTATACTAAGAAGTTTAGTTAAGATTTCTGATGTATTGTTTCCAGTTAACAATCTAGTATGCAGTTGTATTCTACCAGTGTTCAAGACTTACTCTTATGTCATTCAGGCTATCCAGGAAGCTCTTTTATATTGGTTAGCAAAATGTCTTTACAACTCAACATTATTGGAATCTTGCAAAATATAACGCTGTTTCGGTCTACTGAAGTACTTTTAAAATCACAATAGTGATAATAATACAGATAATAAAAATGATAAAGTTGGCTAAAGTACTAGTATTATTGTTTGTATTATACCGTAGTTGATTAGACCGGATTGGTTGGTCTGGTGGATAACGCTCTGATGTTTGAAGCGACCAAACCCAAGTTCCAATCCCGGTGGGAACAACATCACTTACTAGGGTGCAAGTCAATCTAGATGAGGAGTCCCAAATAGGACGAAACGAGTGTCTTAGATTCTACCGTTCTCTACTATCCATCGTTGACTCAATCAGTCGTAAAATAGATGATAGTGATGATAAAAACTAAGAAAACAACATGAAAACGTAGATACTCCGGTAATCAAAATGGGTAAAAAGCTTGTAAAAATGAAAGTTACGTAAGACTGAAGGACAAAGTAAGTGGATAAACAAAGTCTAACAAAATGCAGTAAGTATATTAAAAGAAATACAGAATAAGAAAGGGATAAGGAAAATCTCAGTGATAAATTTGTATACTAAGTATTCCGTGGCCTAGAGAGAGATAAGAGATATACAAACTTCGTCTGGATACAAAGGCTAGAATTATTTTTATATATTATCATTTGTCACTTGAATTCCCAGTGGAACATAGGGATTCAGTAGCACATCTCCGTTTCACTCTGTTCTCTGCAGTCTTTGAAACCTGGCTCCACCACTGCCCACAAGCCTTCATTTCTTCCTCACATGATCTCCTCCATGTCACCTTCATATACCCAACCAGTCGTTTCCCCCTTTGGTTACACTCGAGGGCCTAGCCTGGCGCATGATATACCCAATCGGCCTTCTCAGTGTATACCCAATCCATCTAAACTTTCTTCTGCATATTTGTTGAGTGATAGGTTGTTGGTTGGTTGCCAGCCAGCCAGAGTTCCTCCTTGCTTATCATTATTATTCTGGCCATCCAATCTTCAGTATCAAACATAGGCAGCTGTTGATGAATATCTGTAGTTTGTTGGAAATGATTTTCGTGATGCGCCAAGTTTTCCAACCATATAGAAGCACTGACTTGATGTTGGTGTTGAAAATTCGGAAGTTGTTCACGGTTTATGCTGAGTGCATTAGATCTCCACACTGATTTCAGGTTGATGAAGGAACGCCTGTCTTGCTGTCTTTCCGATCCTGGTTGGCTTTGACGTCGTCATCTGTGCCTGTGCCGCCTGTAGTTGAGACGATGTTGTCTTGCCTAGGTAGGTGAAAGAGGCTACTTTCTTTAAGTTTCTCCCGTTGATGGTGGTTGGTGCCTCTTGTTGGTTGGATATCTTCATAACTTCCGTCTTCTCTACATTCACTTGAAGTCCCATCTTCTCTGCCTCTTCCGTTAACTTGTTGGCTTTTGCCTGTCAATCTTCGAGTTTGTGCGATATTAGACATAAGTCATCGTCGAAGTCGAAATCTTCTAGGGTCTTTTCGTCGATCCAGAGTATCCCCATCATCTCGCTCCTCACGGTTTGTTGCATAATCCAATCGGCCACAATCAGGGAGATGATTGGTAATAGTAGGCAGCCTTGTCTTACTCCTGTTTTCACTTCAAGGGCGTCACTGAGCTTTCCATTGTGGATCAATTGGCATGTGGCGTCTTCATATAGTTGTTGAATGACGTTCACAAGGGTTTGTGGTATTACGCAGCGTTGAAGCAGCTGTCAAATTTGTAGCCCAAATTTCCACAACGTTTGTTAAGTGTAAAGGTGAATTTGAGTATATTTCGGGAGATTAGGTGTTATGCGGTAAATAATCTCACCTACCAAGTGACCACTATCAAAGAGAAGGGGTAAAACAGAACTTCTGATGGATTTTATATGTCCCTTTCTCAACCATGAAGGCAGATGCTCTGGAACAAGTCTCTTAAATCTGGCAATAATAATAATAATGATCGCTTTATTCCAAACGGCATGTATGATACACTTTGGAATTTTCAGCAGGTGACATTTTGACAAATAAGCTCCACGTACAATATCTTTATAAGTGGAGATGGATTGGGCATACACTGAGAAGGCCGACTGTGGACATCACGCGTCAGGTCCTCGAGTGGAACCTCGATGGGAAGCGACGAGTTGGGCGTCCGAGGGTGATATAGAGGAGATCGTGTGAGGAGGAAATGAGAGGTTGTGGGCTGTCGTGGAGCCAGGTTCAAAAGATTTCAGAGAACAGAGTGGAATGGAGGTGTGCTACTGAAGCCGTATGTCCCATCAGGAACCCAAGGGATAAATAATAATAATACAATATCTTTATAAGAAAGTCTTGCATCCCAGTAATGTTAATAATAACAAAATTAAAGGTAGTAATTTGAAATGGATAGGTATTGTTACATTAATATCTTGTCCCCGCTTGGGGATAATTACGAAATCAAGTGTAATTATAGTGTTGATAGTTTAGTCAGCCAGTACATAAATCTGAAATTTGATGTAGGTAACCTAGAAATAGCACTTCGCTGTATTTTTGAGCATTTATGTGTCCGTTTCTATCCGGCTTAACATTTTTTCATTGTTTCGTTCATAACTTGAGAAATGATCATTTGAAATCATTGTAAAACTCTGCGAGAGTATATGTTACATTTAGAGGACAAATAGAAAGGGAATAATTTGATCAAATATATTCCATGAAAGTTTTTTTCGGTAGTTCAAGGTTTATGGAGGCCGCCTAAAACGTTATCGTGTAGATAAACATAGAAATGGTTAAACTAGATAACTTATCTTTTGTTTGAGCAACAATAATTGGTCAACTAGAAAATGATAGAAAGAGTTGTACGGCGTAGAAAGTCCTCTTAATGGCTCTAGAGAGTCTCTGATATGAAATTTTTTCGTCTAAATCACCATTAAATCACGATTTCATGAACAGTGGTTTCTTTTGAACGGTAATCATTCCAGGTTTATTTCTCCTCACTATGTCCATAGGTCTTTTTTATAAAACTGTTAGGATAATACTGTCAAAGTTATCCTTTTTAATTATTTGTGTTATTATCATCATCCTTATTTTTAAAACACTCATCACATTAACCAACAGATCTGCATAATTGATATGATTTGTTTATATATTTAGCCATTAATATTAGAGTGAAACTCTGAAGAGTATCTGACTGAAAACAATATTCTTTACTGATGCTTATTGTCCTAATCCATATGATGGGCACTTCTGAAACTCTCGAGGCAGTTCTCAGAAACTATTAAGACTGTGAGCAATTTGTTTATCACTGTTATTTACAGATATTGATAAGGGTCTCCTTGAATCTTCTTTACTTTTGGCGTAGGAGGTTGAGTTATAAATTATTTGGAAAGTTATTAAATACTGAGAAGTTATAGTTCAAGTCACTTAAGAAACAAGGATTTTCTCTTGATCTTGGTGATTAGAAGAGGAATCCAAGATGCGTCAGTGGGATGTACCTACACCCCAGTGAACCATGTTGCACATCCAGTTGATGAGCCGAAAATAGGGCGAAACATGCATTCTGGGTTTCTCTGGTAGTCATCAAGACCAATATGACATCATGAATATCCAGTAGAATCGAAGCATCTGCATAGGAGCCCATCTGCCAACAGAAGTTGAGCAATTCGGCTCAGTGTAACAACCAGAAATTACAAGCATCATTCCAAGGATTTTCTCTGTTATGTTTACAAGGCATGAAAGACAGACCAGTCTCTTAGATGAATTGAAGTGAAACACTTAAGATTTTTTAACTCACCTTTAATAAAATTTCATTCATCTTCTTCTTCTGCTTCTATTCAGGTAATCGTAGACGATCTCAAGATGAATCGTGTATTTGAATTCCCTTGTAATACATGGATTATTGAACCAAGCGAGGTGATACTAACATGTGAAAAATCAATTAAAAAAGAACAGAATGAAGTTATTTGGCAGAGTGAGTTTCTAAACTCATTATAAAATAAGTTTATGAATCAGATCACAAGTCATTTAGACAATGCTTTCTAAAACTGCCCTTACTTTTCTCACCTTTTTGTAAAGATTATTTAAGGCTTCAGAAAGATATTAATTACCCTTCATTGACCTAATCATAAATTGTATTCAGTTAATAAAGAACTTGATTCCAATTATCACTTGATGGTGCGATGCCTTGTCTCAAAGCTAAGCAAATCATTGATTAGCCTTTCTGCTAAATTGTTTGGTTGTGGCTAGCAGAAGAAATCAGGACACGCGTTTCATCCTATTCCGAACTCGTTAGCTGGACGCATCTGCACCCCAGTAAGTGATGTTGGTACCACTGAGACTTGAAACTCGTACTCATCGCTTCAAACGCCAAGGTGTTATCTACTATGCCACGGAGGAGCGATAGCTACTTCTTACACAACGGGTATTAGTTATTACTATTGACTGATATACCTGTAATTCTCCGTTGTTTCATTGGATCGAATTGTTCGACCTCTATTAGGATATGGGCTTGTGTGCGGATGCCTCGATATTGCCTGAATGTCGATTATGGTAACTTAGTTGATTGTGGCTAGCAGACGAATCTAGGACGCGCGTTTCGTCCTATTTAGGACTCGTCAGCTGGTTGTACCTGCACCCCAGTACAGAGTGACGTTGCTCCCACTGGGACTCGGACCTCGTACCGATCGCTTCAAACGTCAAGGCGTTACCCACTATGCCATAGAGGCTTCGCGGTATAGTAGCATCCTGGTTTCTTCTGCTAGACAACCAAGCAGATTACTACAATTAACATTCAGGCGATATCGAGGCATCCGCATAGGAACCCATATTCCAATAGAGGTCGGACAATTTGATCCAAATATATCGATAAATAGTTATTCCTGCTAAATGTCAGCAAATATACTATTTCTGTCCAGAGCGTGCTGATGAATGGCTTAACTTGGGGTTATTGATAATGATCGTAATAGTCAACCGCTGAAGACTATTAATTTATTTATTCACTCGACACTCACATGGATCACTGTTAAGTTTATCAAAATGATTGATTTATCGTGTTTTCGCTTAATTTTGTGATTCATTTACTAGAAATTAGTCCAATAACGAGTAAATGATGATAACTTCACACAACAGGTGAACATTTCTCACCTCTCTGATTAGTATTATTACGTTATATATCATCACGTAACTTCTTGCTGACTTTAGAGACAACTTTTTATGTGACTCTTGGACACTGTAGAAGTGACGTCATTCCATTTTACTGATTATTATTAGATTCCTCAGCAGTGCGCACCTACAACCCTGCTAGCAATGTGATTCATAACCTTCATTTCTCACTGCGAACACGTTCAGTACTCCCAGAGTTTTAATGGTTCTCTAACTGGTGTCAGTCTATGACGAATACTACCTTGAAATATTCATTTTGGGGGTTTGTGGGGATTTTTCAAGTTGGCATTTATCATCTAGTGCTTATTGGTGACTAGCTTCACGAGGTGATTCCTGAAGCTACAGGGGGAATTCGTGACCGGAGGCGCAAACCTGGTGACCATGACGATAAATACTTAACAATAACATTAGGTGATGGTCACCCTATGTCGTGAACTAACAGAAGTTGGAAATATGGATCATAGGATCCCGACTCATTGGCTCAATGGTAACGTACTGGCCATGGGACCTGAAGGTCAAGGGTTTGATCCCTGGTGTGGCGGGGTCATGGGCTCGCACTGCTTAGTAGTCTCATATTAGGACGAACCAGCCTTCCAGTGCTCACAGGTTTACAATGTTCCACCAACTGATACCAGTCCATGATGAATACTAACTTGAAGAAACACTTTCCTCCAGGAACTATATTTGTCAAAATTTATTACGTTATTTTGCAGTATATCTCGCAATTCTTTGTTTGAATGACAACATGCTTGGCATGATACTTGAAGGAGTTCAGTCTAGTCCCTGGTGTGGTCTACGGTGCCCACTGTTGAGAGGTCCTATACCAGGATGAGACAGCTATCTATTGCTTCCAGATCTTCAAAAGTTCCTCAACTGATGTCAGTTTGTGATGAATACCATCTTGGTTCTGAATGTCTATAAAATATTTTGTGGAAGTACTTGAAAAAGTGTTGATACGTCCATTTCTTTTTACTTATTTCTGAAGGATCTATTTTTTTTGACCTTCCAATAACACTACAGAGATCCCATTGGAAATTCGCTTGTATACTGGTGACTTGCCTAATGCAGGAACAACTGCTAGAGTTTACCTTCGATTAAGTGGTCCTGAACAAATTTCTATTGCCAAAACTGCTGTACCCAATGCTCCGATATCTCGTAATGCTCTACAAGCAAGATTCGATGTAGCGCCAGATCCTAAAGTGCAAAAAGCTGCTACTGAAAAAGCAGATGACTCATATACAACTCCACGGATATGGTTAGAAGATGGTACTTATGAAAGAAATGGTGTTGCATTATTTTCGATTGATTTACCAGTTCCGAAGCTGATTAGTCCTGTGTCACAACTGTTGATAGGACATGATAATTCTGGTCATTCTCCATCATGGTTCCTTGATAAAGTAAGACAACATATTCAAAATGAAATTTTATGGGAATCAAAAGATTATTTTCACTTTCAGTTGCTCATACTTATGTACGACTGTTAAAGAACTGTATAAGATGGATGGTAACCTCAACTTCTTAGTAATCTGAGTTATATACGGCATAAATTCCCTTCAGTTACACATGCTTTATGGATTGCATGTTCGTACTTCAAACACTGGGTCCTTATTTCAAACCTCAATTTCAATACTCTGACCTGAGCAACTGAACAGTACCAGTAATCTTTAATCAAATAGGTGTGATTTGTAGCCTAGTACTTAAACATTTAGTGGATTGTTGAGTTACTAAATGCTATGCAATCAAACTCCAGTAAGACGTTTTAGAAATTTTAAGGCGATGAGTAATTACCACCGTAGTTTTTAGTAGAATATGACAGAAAACTGGCTTTCATGCTTTCATGAACCTAGCTATTATTATTATTTTTCCCTTGGGTTCCTGACGGAATATAAGGCTTCAGTAGCACGCCTCCAGTGCACTCTCTTCTCTGAAAACTTTTGAACCTGGCTCCACCACTGCCCCCAAGATTTCATTTCTTCCTCACACCATCTCCTCCATGTTACCTTCAGCTCAGACGCCCAACTCGTCGCTTCTCATCTGGGTTCCACTCGACAACCTGGACTGGTGCGTGATGTCCCCAATCGGCCTTCTCAGTGTATGCCCAATCCATCTCCACTTCCTTCTGCATATTTGTTGAGCGATAGATTCTTGGTTGGTTCGACGCCAGTTAGAGTTCCTCCTTGCTTATTCTTTCTGGCCATCTGATCTTCAGTAACGAGCCAGTGTAGGCGGCAGTTATTGATGGATGTCTGTAGTTTTTGGAAATGCCTTTCGTAACGCTCCAAGTCTCTGAGCCATACAGAAGCACTGAAAACCTAGCTATATCGATTGCTATTTCGAAGATATTGCAAGTAAATTCTTATTATCTTGAAAGATTAAAAATCTTCCTACCTACTAGCCAGTATCAACCTCATATCCATGGATTCAGCACAACAAATTCATGGGTTTGAAACTATTGTTTGTTGAAAATACAATCACCTCATATCATCAAAGTGTGTTAATCTAAACTAACTATTGAACATCAGTGAATATAAAATTAAAACTTAAAACAACTCACTTTAAATATCCACTAATTAGCGACAAGATTCTAGGCTTTGTGGATAGTATCTTTACTACTTTTCCTCCACAATAAACACTTTCTGAATGTAGTTGAAATGTTATTTCGGTTAGTGGTATGAAGTAAATGGTTATATCTGAAAATGAAAGTCGATTATGATAGTGATTTGATGTCCTATAAGTTTTGACATCTTGTTCTGAACAGGTTTGGTAACATCTTCAGGACTAACTTCATAAAAAAGTGAAGCATATTCAAATATTACACGAATGTTTAGGTAGTGTTCTTACTGACCTTGAGTGTTGTCCATTTAGTGGTCGAAGAAGTGATTTTAACCAGATCTCGACCTCTTTGACCTTAAATTTCTTTCAGTCACACTGGTAGATCATCTTTGTTGAAGTGAAATTGTGCTGTTTATTGCTGTAACACTGAATCATTACTGATTTGTTTGGTCTATTTACCCCTGGTTGATAGACAGCTGTTTTTCTTTTTTGTTAAGTAGATTATAGATTGAGACGTTATTCACATGTTTGCTGATTGACTTTTCTTACAGTTTTTGAACCTGCTTTTTAGAGGATTTCCGTATTCTTCCAGTCGAATTTGTAATTGTGATTGTCTGCATACATCAAAATCAAGAAGGCTGACCCATGTCACTTTACTGCAAGTTGGTGTTCATGAATTCTCAGAGCACTCCAACGGCTAGACTGGCCAACATTGTGTTGTAAACAATCTTTGCAATTGATTTTGTTTTTCTTTGTCAACGGATCCTTTGGTTGTCACTACATGCTATGTAATGGCTTCTTTGGTTTGTGGGTTACTTTGATTTCGAACGAATGAAGCAACTGGTTGACTGTTTCTGATTAAGAGTGGCGTAACGCACCTATTGATTTAAGACTCCGTCTTCTATCCTGCTGATAAGCAATTTTCAATGTGTTTGGATGGATAACCGTTGTCTTTGAACACTTCGAACCGGTATTTTCCTTCGGCTTTCCGTAGTGTTGCGGTGTGTTTTGGCTTTTAAGAATCGTGTCTGTAAACAACATTTCTTATGGACTGTAGAATGATTGCTATTATAGTTAAAAATGTCATAAATATGTATGCATTTTTCCTATCCACTTGAGTTCATAAAGTTCAGTGTGTTCTACTGATGAGGACATTGTAGAATGGAATGTTTTCACTGGATTCCTCCTCCTTTGTCAAGTGAATCCCTTCAAATGTTTGGTTGATTAGTCTTAAAGTGTGTTCTATTTCATCTCCCATGGTAATTATGAATATGTCGGCAATGTACCTAATCCAAATATTTTCGCTTGATGAGAAAAAGGGAAGTCTTGTAATAACAACTAAAATGGCGATTCGGAGGATTGACTGATTCTAAATTACCTTTTGTAGCATAATGATGTCAGTTGGAGAAAGATGAAAAATCTGCGAGCATCGGATAGCTACTTAATTCCAGCTTTCGAACAGTTAGCAGTGCTTACTTATGACCGTATCAGAGACTGAATACAACGTCGTCAGTTTTCGAAGCCAGAAGGCTATCACTCAGTCACAAGGTGTGAGGAAGACCAATCGTCGGTGGCATTGAGTGATGGTTGCGTTACGTTAAAAATTGACAAAAGAAACGAAATACAGGTTAATGGATCATATCCCAGGGTTGAATGGTTATATATATATATATATATATATATATATATATATATATATATTACCATAGCCCTAGCTATTTACAGACCTACTGGACTTAAATCCAATTGATTTTTGATCTGTTCAACCACCCTGTCACTACAAGTTGGTTCATGTGTTTTTTCCCAAAACTTCAAAAACAATTTATGTCCATCCACACAGTACCTTATCATTCACACAAACTACATCCAGATTACTATGGCTTAAATTGGACACAAGATCTCAGGGTGTCATCTAAAAAACTCAGGCATGTTGACAGAAAAAATCAAAGTAGTATGACATCACAACCTGTTCAAAAAAGCCTAAATGAGTTCAGCTTATTGAGGTTGGCAAATTTTTGTAAACATTTTAATGTTAAAAATGACATGGGAACGAAAAAATGAACACAACAGGTTGACGTGACAATAAAGCCCGTTTGGAGAATCAGGTTTGTGCAATATTGGAATTACACATGCAAAGCTATAGTAGACGTTCCTGCAAGTACTTATCAGTCGACTTTTTTAAGTGGAGAGAAAAAAGTTCATCAAATGCCCTTCTTCAAAGTGTCAACAAATCATTCCCATCATTTTAAACTGAAATTTAGTTACTTTAGACTATACCACAGCATAAATACAGCAGAAAAGTATTAAGGAATAATTTCTCAGGACCGAGCGTAACGTTACTAGTCAATCAGAAGACATCATTGTAATATCTATCATTATTGCAAAGAGAAAGTGTTATAGTCTGGAATAAGATTACCAAAATTTTCATAAGTAGCTGTAAACCATTACAGCCTTTTTCAACCAATCGCTTTGCTTCGAAATTTCGGGAAAATACACGTGAATCAACTTGTAAGTATCAAGTTGGTTGAAGAGATGGAAAATGAATAGGATTTAAATCTAGTAGGCTTAGAAACAGTTAAAGACCATGGTAATATATATAAACCTGGTATTTTGTATTGCTGTTGACTTTGTAAATACACTTCCTGTTATATCACCACCTTTTTCGTCATCAAGGAGGAACTGAGCAACTATTAAGGGTGATTTCTGAAGCGTCCAAATATATATAATTCAAGCTATATCAAGTCATCGTAAAAATATAAAAAGTGGCGACTAAAGTTATAAAAATATGGTAAGGTGTTCGATTTAAAACAGTTTTGTGAGTAAACAAAAATTGACTAAACAGCTGGTCATTGTCTCCAAATACTCAACTGTTCTCTGATTGATATCACCTAGTCTTACTAATTACTTGGAATAAATGTTGCTATAGTTTATAGGTTCGATCGCTTTTTTCTTGACTAAAAGTAGGCCAAGAGAATAGTTAAACTAAATAGTTATCAAATGGCTTATGTTTTACTGAATTCACATCCTCTCTAGGGTTTCAGGTATACCTTATCAGTTAACGAAATAGTGTTTGCATAGACATTTATCAAGAATACAATAATAAAAAGATGGTTAAAATGATACATAATGTTACTGAACAGTAATTTCATCAGAATAAAAAAAATTGACTTCTACTGAAGCTTAAATACATGTCTAATATTTTAATAAATTTTCAACTAACCTTTATTACTTTTATTAACTAGGTTCAAATATTCTGTCCATTGAATGGGATTGAACAAACGTTTATACATCGTAAGTGGTTATCAAGTGTTAAACCGGACATTAAGTGTGAACAAGTATTGTATGAAGAAAAATCCCTTAGGAAATATTCCGATAAAAGTAAGTTGAATGATATTTTCAAGCTATGGCTAAAAATACTCTAAGAGAATTTTTGTGTGTTCCCTTTATTGGTTTAAATAATTATATCAGTGCTTTATACGGATTCTTCTGTATTGTCTATGATCAAATATTGATTGTATTTGGTAGTTAAAATCAAAAACCCTAAGGTATATCTTACTTCCTGAACAAAAGTTGCCTATCGTACCTCAGTTGTACACCATGAAGCTTCCGAGCATTCCAAGTAGAGTTTTAGGAATTGTCTTTGTGTGATCTTGGCAGAAATACGGGCCAGTCACTAATTATGCTTACTTGTAGTATACCTTCGAATACGAGATGAAGGAAGAACACAGCAACGTAGCTGGATGGAATAGTATATTTGCAAGGTCATACCAAGATACCGATACATTCCAACTAGCAGTGCAAAGTAACACGGCAGCGTGCCAAATGACGTGGATACTTGAACGGGTGCCTTCACCTTAACAAATCCGTCGAAACTATGAAGGTCAGCATCAATGTTCAACCTCGTCGAACCCTAGGCTATTGATTCTGGAGAAGTATGTGACACTACCGTCGGAAGATACAAATAATCAATAAGTCAATCAAACTGACATTCTATTTGGATATTTGTATGTTTAATCAGAAAGCTGTGACACCATACATGTCAGTCGGCAAGATTTTGAATATCCAGTCACTAAAATGGTTCTCATAAGTAAAGTAAGTATTATGAGTCTTCAAACAGATCCCTTGTGCAAGGTGTATATGCTACGCTAGGAAAAGAATGTAGTCTTCTATCAAACTTATTATTATTAACATTTTTCCCTTGGGTTCCTAGCGGAATATAGGGCTTCAGTAGCACGCCTCCAGTGCACTCTCTTCTCTGAAAACTTTGGAACCTGGCTCCACCACTGTCCCCAAGATTTCATTTCTTCCTCACACCATCTCCTCCATGTCACCTTCAGCTCAGACGCCCAACTCGTTGCTTCCCATCTGGGTTCCACTCGACAACCTGGACTGGTGCGTGATGTCCCCAATCGGCCTTCTCAGTGTATGCCCAATCCATCTCCACTTCCTTCTGCATATTTGTTGAGCGATAGGTTTTTGGCTGGTTCGTTGTCAGTTAGCCAGAGTTCCTTGTTGCTTATTCTTATTATTCTGATCATCTGATCTTCAGTATACTATCTGAGCTCAACATGTTTCATGAGGTTTTTATATAACGTGATCAAGTGCATAATGGGCCAGGTCGATCTTTACTTCAGATTCATATTTGACAGGCGAAGGTACGATTACGTCATTCACTAACCTTCCTTGTTTGACTTAAGTACACTAAAGTGGATTTTGTGACTGAATGAATTTTTGTGCTTGAATGAACTAGTAAATAGTAAGTTCTTTGGTTGGCTGGCTGCTTTAAATATCGAAAGTTACTTCACATTAGCTGACTGACTTACTTTATAGGATTGGAACTCTTCAGTAGTGTTTGCCGGCTGATTTATAATATTGATGTGTTTGCCTGGATGACATAATTAACTTCTGAAACTTGACTATTAGCATTAAAACTGTCTCACTCAGCTTACTTCATGATTTTCACTTTAGCTGAGTTGGAGATTTTTCTACATTTAGCTTGATCGACTCTTTTTGTAGATTTATTCTGAATAGACCAAAATATTTCATATAGATCGGCCTAATGACTTTGTACATTCACTCCAGGTCAAAAGACAATTAACTCTAAGCAATGGGCAAGTAACCGTAGTCTTCAGTCGACCACTTAGTTTACTTTTGTGGAGATTCAGACAGCTTCTGGTTCTTCCCTGTAGATGTATGCAAATCGTATCAAGTGTGCAGTATCAAAAGATTAGTGAATAATACCATTTGCATAAAAAGGCTAAATAAGTTTATATTTCAACGTTCTGTGCATTCATCATTCAACTTACACATTTTATTAGAGTTCAGAGAAAGAAGTGGATGGACAAGTTAAATATTGGTCAAATGGACACCTAGAAAAAGCAAACTAGGAGCAGACATTTTGACAGTTGTGTACCCAGTAGGATCTATCCACGGAGAATACAAAAGTGCAATCAATTTCACTTCGCTGTCAGTCTTTTCTTGTTCTCACTGTCCATTTGACTTGACTGACTGGCAAAATCAACTTAGAACGTCACATACGAGGTTATTGGTTCAGTTCACCACAGTTCACACTAGTATATAAAGGACAGGCTGGGTGATATCAAAGGAGATAAAGTATTGTAGGAGAATAGACAATTTGATGATAACAGATAGTGAAAATATTCAAGCTTTAAAAGACGTAAGGGAGTGAATGCATTTGCGCCATTGTGACCGAATTCCAGCCATGTCAACAAGAGTCACTCTCCAAATACAGGTTCCTTTCATCTCGGAGACCCCAGCTCGGCAGTCTACATCGCACATGACGCAGACCAACATCAAGAGACTTTGTGGAATGTTACCACGTCTTGGTCTGGTCACCTTGAAGCCTCTTTCAATCTAACCCAACTTCCACTAGCATGATAAATCGAGGTAGGAGGTGGCTGGCTACATGCAGTACATGTTCAAACAATCTCAGTCGACTAAGTTTCACAATCTTATCAGTCAACTTGCCTGTCTTGCTTAAAACCCTTTACCTGATCTAGAGATTTCTCATACTCTGGTTCCAGGAAATGCGAGCAATGCTGTAGAGACATCTACGATAAAAACCCAGTGATCGCTTCATACCCTCCACTTTTAACTGCCACATCTCTCTGCTGTATAGTAGGACAGAATGGACTGCGATGCGGTTCACTTGTTAGACATTTTGCCATTTGGCGCCACAGATGACGCAAGTTAGTAAATGTCAAGCAATCCTTGTGTATCAGAGCTGAAATTTCGTCAGCACCCAACGAGTCCCAGCTGTTGCAAAGCCTTAAGTGAACTACACCTGAAGCTAACCCCAATACTACAGCGAAGTCATCAGTAATACAAAGAAATAGCAACCGAAATATAATCATTCAGACTAAGACATCGCTTCCTTCATAGTTTCCTCATATGATTCTCGTTGATCTTATTTAAAGTATATCTTTATGATTTGTATATATCGGATAGTCTCTTAAAACTTTATTTCGAAGCTGTAAGTTTTCAGTCACCTTCAATACTATTCACATTTTTGCTTGATAAGTCGTAAAAGTTAATATTTCACGCCTTTTGTTCCAATTTTGCATCATGCTTTTGCTAAATGCTTTTCAAGCATTCCTTATCGATGTTTCTCAATGTTCAATATTATTTCCAAGAAATCCTGATCCTTTTTTCTAAACAAGATCAAGGGTCATATATTTATAAAAGAGTGTTAAAACCAGTTGCTTTGTTCATCAAGAAACAAGACAGTTCTAATAGAAGATATGCCTTCACATTTTTTCCCATGTTTGCTGAGAGTGTGGTGGATTTTTAAGCTACTACAGTTCTCACTAATTCTTTTTCACGGTGTATTTGACTAGTTATCTTCAACACATAATAGGAATACCGGTTGGCTTTAAATGATACCTCTGCATTCAACTAATATGTAGCTACAGATTAAACTTTTTTCCAGCTAAGAAAGGCATAAACTATTAAACTTTGTAAACCTTTTAACAATAATCACTTTATTCCAGACAAAAACCTTTAGTATAATTTGGAATTCTCAGTGTGATATTTCAACCAGTTTGCTACTATGGGTTGGAGTTCATCATTAACTGACATAAGTTAGAGGAATGTTGGAACTCTGGAAGCATTGGAAAACTGTTTCGTCCTAGTATGCGTCTCCTCAGCAGTGCGTACTCATGACCCAGCCACGCCGGGGATCGGACCCAGGACCTTCAGCGCGTTGCCGTTGGGCCCCTGGGTTGGAACTCAGTGGTTCATATTTCCAACTTCTGTCAGTTCACCATAAAGAGCGACCTACATCCAGTATCGTCGTCGAGTAACTGCCTCCGTAATCGACTTGGTTGACTCCATTGGCCGCCACTTCTCATTGGAACTTCGGGAATCACCTCTTGAAGCTAGTCACCAATGAGCGCTAGGGTAATTCTATCTGGGGGTTTGTAGAGATTTATTAATTGATTTTAGGTCAGAAATCATCACAGGGTGCGCATTACTGAGAAGTCCTATACTAGGACAAACTAGCTGTCCAGTGCTCCCAAATTTCCATTGTTCCTCCAACTGAATCAGTCCATGATGAATTTCAACCTAAAATCAATTGATAAATCTCAAGAACCTCCAGATATATTTGATACTTATCCAATATTTTTGAATTAAAAGACTATGGTAGCTAAATAATGGTAATAATAGTTTATTACTTGACTATCTGAGATAGCCGTAGTTTGGCAGTTTAGTATTCATACTGAGTGAAGATTGAAGGTGAGATGAAAATCTGAACCGCAGCTGGATTCGAGCCAGCGACCACCCAGCAGGAGCCACCCGCAATCACTTTCAGTCACCACTGGGTAATAAGAGAGTTGTGATAGGCAGTAATGTACAACAACCAATAGGTTTCAGGTCAACATCTGGTTTGTATGTTGTTGTACATGGGTTGGGTAGAAAACCACTAGTTTAATGATAGAAGTTCATTCATCCAGTATGAAAATTTTCTGCTTCAGCTGTCTGTTTCTGTAATAGCTATGTGATGCACTGTTGTACACTTATGAGCCATCTACAATCTATTGTGATATTCTCTACTATTCTTGTCTAACGATAAGTAGAAGACATTTAAAGAGTGCTGGAGAGTGCGTTTTACAATTTGTTGATATTTGAATGGTTAAAACAAGAGAAAAAAAGGAGCAATTTGATGAAATATATTTGGTAGCCTAAAATATAAGTAGGTTACTAAGAAATAAGGGGAAAAGGTTTACTACAGTCATTTCCAAAGATGTAGATCCTACAGTGATAAGATATCAAGGCCTAAAAAACATCACTTTGGTACTTCGTGAATTTGAAACTATTAGTCTTATTTATAGTAAGGATGGGTGCGAATGCCACAGGAGCCCATATGCCAACAGAGACTGATCAATTCGGTCTAATCAACGACGGTGTAATACAAGCAATAGCACTATTAGTCTTAGTGATAAATTTAAACAGCGTTATGAGAAGATGGAGTTTATCTGAAGTATTTGATGCATCATCCCTATACATTTTGGAAAATCTGATCACACATGAACTTGTCGAATAATTTAAATAAAACTTAGCCTGCATAAACATGATCAAGGGCGAATAATTAGATTTATCGTGACACTTGTTATCCATAAATTCAAACCCTTTGTATGTATTCAAAAATAATTTATAATTACACTAAACCTACTGTGGTAGTATTGAGTTCAATTATTCATACTATTAGTAGTGATGACTTGACCTTTTATTTTCTTCTCTCTTGTTTTCATTCTGTCCTTGTTATCTTTCTTAATTATAATTCCGTTGGCTTAATTAAGCTAGATTTTCACCAACATAAGCTGACTGACAATTATGAAAACAAAATTTACTCCATGGTGCAATTGGACATAGAAAAAACATACTATATCCACTATGGATATTTTTGTTTGAATCAGAGCGTTGACTGTTCAATGTATTGACTTCACAACATATAATTAATGGTTCATTGAGGAGTAATTGATCTGAAGGTGGAATAAAGCTGATTGTCAATGATGTATCCGGTTCAATGTCCAATGTCTTGGTATATGTTAAAATAATCGTAATTATTTCCAAGTTTGAATTGGCTGACCATACTCGTGAAGGAAGCATAGTGTTTCACTAGATTTATTCATTCTTCTCAGTTGTTCAATGAACAGATAGATAGTTTTTGCAATTTTTTACCTAGGAAGTGGTAGCAACAATAAAAATAGTAGCCCAACAAAAAAAGAGTCTCACATGTTATTCACATTAACAACAACATTTGTGTGATGGTAATCTGTTAACAGTGGTAGTGTTAAATAGTTTTAAGTTCAACTATTCATACGATTAGTCACGGTGACTTGACCTTGTTTTAATTTTGTCCTTGTTATCTTTCTTAATTATAATTCTATTGGCTTAATTAAGCTTTCTAAGTTTTATATAAATTACTGAACAAGTTTCTGTGTGATCAGCTTGTTGGAAATGTATAACTCTAAAACATCACTCATGTTTCAGATACTCTCCATCTTCTCATTATGTTGTTTAAACGTTATAAATTCCTCTTTTGTCTTTGAAAGTTATCATTTGCAGCAAAATATACTACTGAGAAACTTTTTAAATGAATAAAATCTACAGTCCGACTTATATTACAATATAATTTCAAAATAATTACCATTGAGGAAATAATGTGATCACAGGTTTGAAAACTGAACAATTATGTTTGAATAAACTAAATATACCTGCAAAATTCGGACAGATTTATTACCAAATTGTAAAAAATATGACAATGAATTTTTTTTTATCTGTTCAATGCAGATTAAAGTTTATTGATTAAATTTACGATACGACTACTCAGCCAAATCATAAGACACTGTATTAATATTCACTTCGGTACTCATTAATACTCATTAACAAGGCTTGTCTTCAGTATCCAGGAGAATGATTTTTATTTGAAAGGTCGATACTACATCACTCAGTGCAGAAACTATTCAAGTTATGCTTGGTTTTCTGTAGGAGTTTAGTAAGTTCAAGAATTAGTTACCGGGCGGTAACTAATATAGCTGCAAGTGTTATCAGTTTAACAACAATCCAGTGACTCCATACATACATACAGTATAAATAACATTTTGTTTTTTTTTTCAAACAAATTATCAGAAATCCCATGGGAAATAACAGTCAAAACTAGTCCTATAGTAAATAGTTATGTTACAGCCAGTGTCAACATTATTATATTTGGAAGTAAAGATAGAACAATGAAAATTCAGTTGGATCGTTCCACTTTACAAGTATCATCTGAGTGGACAAAAATATCAAAAAATGAGAATGTGGAAATGTTTAAACCAAATGTTGAGTCTAAATTTCGTATATATATCAAAGAGATTGGTTTACCGTATAAAATAAGAGTTGCACATGATAACAAAGGCTCCAATCCAGACTGGCATCTTCAGCAGGTAACTATTACTTTTTTTATTGGATAAAGTTTCTTTTCCTGTGATATTGTGTCATAAAGTGATCGCCTAGTGCTATAACTACTAAGGAAGTAATAAATCCTTTGCTTGTCAGTGTTTTTTCAAAGAATTTAGATCATTTTCACTGTATGTAAGACGTGTGAAAACTTAATTTTTAAATGGCTTTATGGACTACTTAAACTAATAGTATAATTTCATGCATGGCTAGGAAAAGTAAATCACTGTTATGCTGAATATTACTTTCCAATTGACGAGTTAACTTTCAATAGCATGAAAAAGTTTACTTTTTCTGCAACATTATCACAGGTATCACTTCTGATTACTTAGGATAGTTATTACTAACTGAGACTTAACGTTTCGTATGGGTTGTATAAAAAACGGGTCACAAATCAGTCCATGAAATCTCTTATTATTGTTCTGAGCTGTGTAGATAGATGTAGACTATCTGGCTGGGGTCCCCAAGAGGATAGGAATCAGTGGTAGGGGACTGACTGTAGTTGACATGGCTGAAAATTGACCACAGTGGTTCAGATGATTTCACCCCACCCCCAGACATCTAAAGCTTGAATATTTGTATTAACCGACACCTTCAAATGGTTTATTCTCTCACACAATTTCGTCTTTTTTTTATCAACTTGTTATTTCTATACTCCTTTAAAGTGGGACAACTTGGACCGATGTATTTGTATGCATGGTCCTATGTTGATTATGTCTCAAATCAGATTGATTTGGATAGAACAAAACGGTTAAATAGATTGTGAAATTAAATAAGGACCTAGTGTTTCTGTGAAAAATGTCTTGTATAACTACTCATAATATTAGATTTTAGGTTGAGAAGTGGATTACTCGATATTTACTATACTAAGAATACTGCACATGAGAGTCTTTGTAAAAAAGCATGAGCATTAAGGAACTAAACTCTGCGCCTAACTAACTTAATCAGACTATATTAGTTCTATAGTCCCCTAAAGTGTATTGGGATGTATGACACGTTGCAGACCAATGAAAGATCGGTCTCACTGCAAACTTGATCAATAAACTCCGACTAACACTGAACCAATAGAACTGTATAGCTATACCATTTACCATCTAGGGACAAATTAATGCATGCAGTTCAGTTGATCACTTTGTTCCGAATAACACAGTTTTAGGGTTTATGATTGCAGCACCTACTAGCATAGAATAAGGATATGCTTTATTAATGAATATCAGTTAGCATGAAGCTTAAGTAAAAGACTTTCTATCAGCTGGCTCCAAACACTTAACGCCAAAACTCTCAGATTATCAAATGATAAGCCACATCAAATTCTTCAAACTTGTATTTAACTGTGCACTTTATTTCGTTTACCTGTTGGTTATACGAGACCATTATGTTCTGTGGATGATAACCGATGTTAGGGAGAAAAAAAGTGGTAACTAAAGTAATATAATCAGACATATGTAACTGTTGGGTGGAATAGTTAGATTGGTAGAACACTACATCAGTTAGCCAAAGATCACTGATTTGAAATCTGCCACTTGTTAGATTCTTTCAATGTCAATCAGCAACTAGATAGACAAAATTATCACTGGAAATGTGTCCAGATAAATTGTTAAAGATATTTTCATCTCTTAATAAGATTAATCTCGTGTTATTAGTTTCAAAGTTTATCATGCAGCAGATATTGAAAAAGTTAATTTAGGCTCATATGGTAGAGAAAATTCATGAAAATACTTTCTATCTGAATCTGTAGACTAGTGCACTAACTTGTAAGCATTTATCACAATAATTCTAGTTCTCCTTTTTCCTGTAAAACTTCTTAATTACTATTCAGATTATTCTCAATGTCATTAAATAATATTTTTCAAACCGTAAAAATGACAGAGAATATATCTCCTGATTTATGTCTATACAGATCACATTGAAAAATCTTAGCACAAATGATGAATATGAATTTCACTGCAACCGTTGGTTAAGTACTCGTCAAGACGATGGTGCGATTTGCAGAGAAATCCCGGCAAATGGTCCTGGTATAACTGATCCTCCACCTAGTGAGTTTATATATATATATATATATATATATATATATATATATACCCTAATCAGAAATTTTGTCTAGTATTTATTGCATACAAACTACAGACATTCATCAACAACTGCTGCCTACATTGGCTCATTACTGAAGATCAGATGGCCAGAATCATAAGAATAAGCAGGACGGAACTGTGGCTGGCTGTCTGGCAATGAACCAACCAGAAACCTATCGCCCAACAAATATGCACTGGAAGTAAGTGGAGATGGATTGGATTGGATTGGGCATACAGTGAGAAGGGTGACTGGGGACATCACGCGTCAGGCCAGGCCGTCGAGTGGGACCCAAATGGGAAACGATGAGTTGGGTGTTGGAGGTGAGGGTGATATGGAGGAGATGGCGTGAGTAGGAAATGAGAGGTTGTGGGCTGTCGTGCAGGCAGGTTCAAAGGATTGAAGAGAACAGAGTGGAATGGAGGTGTGCTACTGAGTCTCTATATTCCATTAGGAACCCAAGGGACAAATAGTAATATATAATAATATTTATTGCATGATAAACTTAAATTCTACATTAATTGAAAAACAGGAGATCAATCACAGTTTGAATAACTCAGTGATAATATCCTTGAATGAAGCTGTGGGTGACACCGGTTCGAATTTCAGAAGGGATATCATTTCCTTCAGGGTTGCCTATATGTCTTACTGACAAGTATCAACAGGAAATTTAGGTTACGGCTTGTTGACGGTTTCCTCTAACCGATATATTAGAACTGTTTTACTATATCATTTCAGTATTATGAAAAAGATCCAGTTTTTCTTCAAAATGACATAGAATTTGATATGAATCGTTCATTTATGAGTTACTATCTTGGTTTAGATCTGTCAAATTATTTATTTATCGCCTGATAAATGTCTGGATAATAATGGATTTTATTCCATAACAGTTTTGGACAAACTCTATGAACCAAGTTTTCAGTGTTAACACTTTCTTCAATAGTTCATTGTATTTGTTTTTGACTGATAACAGCTGTAAAAGACTGCGAAGTTAAGTTCAATGGTAGATATAACTTTGAAGAAGGAACACTATGGTGAATGGAGTCGTAAAAGGAGTCAGATAGCATCTTGTCGGTCTTATCAAATTATTCAATACTTGTGAAAGTGAGGTTTTCAAGTTAACAAATGAAGCCTCCTGATAATATTCAACAGAGTACTTTTGTATCTATCTTTGGCATATCTTGTTTACAATTTATTGTAATGTCTATGAGTAAACTGAAAAAGATGCAGAAGACTCTATCATGAGATAATGGAGAATATTTGTAGCTCAGGAGGATGATTTCAATGGTGTTATGTTCTGTGAACTGGATGGTTTATGCATGCAACAGTACAAACTTCAAAAAGAAATGAGCTATGGAGTTTTCTCCATCGGTGGTTTAATAGCTTTTTCTGATAGCCTCGTGGGTGGTTGTTTCTGCCAAAATCTTGTCGTCATCTTCCTATTTATTTCGATAGGTTGTCCTGACGACCTGAAATTTGACCTTCTTGCTTTTTGTATTGGTTGATAGATTGAGTCAGTGTTAGTGTGTCTTTTGATGGCTGATTTACCTGAGTAAAGCAGTTACTGTTATTGCGAAATGTTGCATAGCTTCAAAGGAGCTTAGGAAAGTTTACGTAAACAAACTCATTTTTACTCAATAAGAAAAATGGAAACGAGTCGTTAGCGACTTGTTTCTATATGAGACTTCCCGAATTTCCAGCGATAATTAGTGACTTATAGGATCAACCAGTAGAAAGTGAGAACAGATAACCATCGACACCATTGGATGAAGGTTGCGCAATATTGTGAACTAAAAAAACTGCTCAGTGGTTACGTACTTGCCGTGGAACCTTAAGGTTCTGGGTTCTATCACTGGCAGGATTATGGGTACGCACCATCTAGGAGTCCTACACTATGATGTCGCAGCTATACAGCGCTCCAAGATTTCCAATGGTTCTTCAACTGATTTCAGTCTGTAATGAATGCCAACTTAAAAACGAATCAATAATGCACCTGTAGTTTCATGTCACTGAACAAATTTAAAAAAGTCTGACGTGAAAAGAATAACGGGATTACTACACAACCGTATGACTAAACTTATGTATCACCTTCATCATTTTATGTGATCACTCGTACATTAGTAAACACTGTACGCCGACAGAACATTTTGATTTTCTACCAAAGTAGGGTGAAATTTTATGACTGCAGTTCACTTATACTTGCCACCACCCTCTTACAGCATGTCAGAAATATCCAACTAGATCTTAAATACTCTGAGCTTGTTAAGCTGGTCAGGTGGAATTTTTGTGGATCAAACTTATCACTTGAATGAACTCGATCAGTCAGAGTGTAAAAGTGCAAAACTTAGACACTATGGTAGAATGTAATCGCAAATTAGATGGTTTTATTTGATAAGGTAAACACTGTTATAGTATTATTTATATGATGACGTCTTGAGCAAAAATTATTCTTCATAATTATACCAATGTAATCACACCACTTTAGGCATCTGACTATTATAGTACTGTGGCCGCATGTTCTTTGTTTTTATCGGTAGTAAAGTTTTCCATATCTCTGGTACAGCTGTTGTGTTATTCCTATTACTACATGTGTTGGGTGTTGATTCGATGAACAAAGATTCAGAAATTAGTCTCTCTCCACTTAATTATATTGAACTTAAGTACAGTGTTTTTATATTACCCTGTATTGCAATAGCCGAGCTTTTTCTAGGTTACTGATCTTATTGGGGTTTGTCATTCTATATTTAGCTAAATTTCTATGTTCAGCTATTCTAACTGACCCCGACCGGCTAGGTTAGCCTACTGTATTGACGTCACAGTCATTACATGTAATACGATAGATTAGATTATTTTGTTGAATTGGTTCTAACGGATCCTTAAATCAGTCGACAAAGCTTATCTCTGAGTGAGTTTGTAGGTTTAAATGTCACCCGAACTCCAGCCTTGTTCAAAATCCTCCTTAAAGTTTCTTATGTTACTTCCTTATGTGTTAATACACTAGAGGTTATTATTCGTATTCATATTACCGTTATTATTTTGTTTCTTATGTGTTCGTATGAATTTCCTAATAAATGGTTGAGGATAATTATTAATTATTAACGTTTCTTTTATATGTTTCAATTCCTTGTTTAAGTCTTTGCACTGACTAGTGGGTTTTTTAGCTCGATCATTCAGGTATTTGAATAAAGTCACCTTAACTGATATTAAATGAGATGACCTGAAGTTGAGTTACCTGTTGGAATGTGTCGGTTTTCTGTAGACGATAGTATTCAAACCACCATATGTCCTTCACTTTATTCTGCAATCCAACATAGGTAATTCTCCTTGTTCATTTTCTAACTCGTAAATGAACAGAATTACACCTACTACTAAATTTATATCTTTGAGAAAACTGCCGATCTGTTCTGATTTCAACAGAGTAATGTGTCATCTACATATCGCTACCAATTCCTAGATGCACGATTAAACGTTTTTAAAGCCACATTTTCCCAACTATCCATAAGTATATCTGCTGCTACTGAGGATATTGGTGATCCCATTGTTACTGTTTCTGTCTGTCTATATATTTTGTTTTGAAACTTAAAGACTATGGAGGTCAGGTACGACTGTACGCTTAATATGATTTCATCAACCGATATCGTAGTTTCAGGTGTAAGTTATGAGTCGATATTTAGTTGATTTCTGACTGCATCCAGTGTCATGTCAATTTGTATTTTAGTAAAAAAAACTTGTAATTTGTTACTTGAGTGAAGCGTCATCAAGTAGGTAATTCTGTATCACTGTATACTGTACACCAAATTAACAATCCGATAAGAAATTAAGGTGTCTGTCTAAAGACATTATGCATTCTTGGTCCAGTGGTTTTCATTACTTGCAAATGTTACTGAGGTAAAACTATCATGTGAAGTATACTGAAGTTAGGCTACTCCCTGAAGTCACTTATTGTTCATTTCTTACGTACAGGATTGTGTAAGTTTCTGTAGATACTGGCTGTTACCGACTACTAACTACAAATTTAATAGCATGAAGTCGATTTCAAAGATTCAGATGCATTCATTTTTTTAACATTTCATTGAATTCTGAACATTTAATTATACTAAAACTATACCCGTCTCACAAGAAGTGTCTGTCGTGGCTCGGTGGTGTGGTGGATAACGCCCCCGCGTTTGAAGTGATCGCTTCCGAGTTCGAATCCCGGTGGGAACAACATCACTCACTGGGAAGAAGGTACATCCAGCTGACGAGTCCGAAATAAGATGAAATGTGCACCGTGGATTCTATTGCTAGCCACAATCCATTACAATGTTTACATTCTCTCTCTCTTTTTTTTTGAAAAGTCATTTTGTGTTTAATATTTTTCCTTCGTTGTTTTTTTAAATTACTTTGAGTAACTGAGACAGTCATGATTTGGTAGGCTTGTATTAATACTAGGTGATGAGTTAAGGTGAAATGAAAATCTAGCCTCCTCAACCAATATGAATGGAATGACCAGATAGTGAAGCATCATGTATTCCCATGTCAGTTGGACAAAACGCTTGGGGACTGAAGTCAAATAAAGATATGGTCTACAATTTGGGTCTTGTTACTCAGTTCATTGTTCTTCATTTTTTTTTTCTCAGTGGAATGCAAGAATTTCTGTTTCAAGTTGTATTTTGTTCATTCTCTTCCTTATCTATCACTTTAACTTTCATGAATAAATAAGTTTTAAAAGGATCATTGTTTGTCTTAATTTTCAGTATATTGAAAAAGGAAACTTCATTCTACAAGCGCATTATATACAATTTTTATATTTATTTCACTTGTTCAATGTTTAGTTTATCACTATATTATTCAAATATACACTGGAAATAAACAAAACTCTAGTACCAATGCAAATATTTTCATGAACATATGTGGTGAGAATAGTGATTGCGGTGAAAGATGGCTTAGGCGATCAATTAATCAAAACACAAAGTTGTTCCAACAGAATCAGGTGAGTGTAAAGTATAAAGACTCTGTATGAAAAGAAGCATTAGGTTGTGGTTGACTATTAAACATTTTGCTTTAAATTTGATAAGCAGACAGTAAATGAGTATAGAGGTGAAGAAAGCATTTTTGAATTGTTAAAATAATATAGGTGTATCAACTCAATTCACCATAGTCCACAGTAGTACACAAAGAACAGGTGGATATAAAAAGAGAGATATCAAAGTTGACAAAGTAGTATGTGAGAAAAAAAACAATCTGATGATAACACGTAGTGAGAATGTTCAAGCTTTAGAAGATGTTGAGGAGTGAATACATCTGCACCAAGGTGACCGATTTTCAGTCATTCCAAGAAGAATCAATCCCCAACCGCTGATTCCCCTCATTTCGAGGACCTTAGTCAGGCAGTGTGCATCTCCACATACGGCGCAGACCAACATCAAGAGACTTTGTGGAATGTTACCACGTCTTGGTCTGGTCACCCTGAAGCCTCTTTCAATCTAATCCAACTTCCACTAGCATGATACATCGAGGTAGGGGGTGGCTGGGTATATGCAGTACATGTTCAAGCAATCTCAGTCGACTAAGTTTCACAATCTTATCAGTCAACTTGCCTGTCTTGCTTAAAACCCTTTACCTGATCTAGAGATTTCTCATACTCTGGTTCCAGGAAATGCGAGCAATGGTGGTAGTGTATACTCGTCACAGATGACGCAAATCGGTAAATGTCAAGCGACCCTTGTGTTTCTGAGCTCAAATTTTGTCGGCAACCCCTCTGGGATGACGCAACTCCTCTAGTAAATGTAGTGGTCTACATGTTCAGCCATTTAGCTCCCCGTCGCTGAGAGTGCTTGCAGTAGGCTAGCTGTGTAGCATCATTTTACCTTTGACAGGTGCCAGCGAGATATATGCCAAACATATTCAGATTTTCACTCAGCGCATTCAGAAGACCTTGCCTTTCGTCAGCATCTTCACCCAGCAGGACAATGTCTTCTGCATACTCCAAGTCAATCAGATGATCTCCAGGTAGTAGGTCAGTCTCTATGGAGTCAGACTTATCTAAAGTTATGCGCTATATTACTTCTATAAAGAAGTTAAATAAGAGCGGTAACAGTCGACAACCTATGGGGACAACTCTAGTTGTTGTCAGTTTATATGACAATTCTCCATGAGCCCGTACATAGCTGTGTGAGTTCAAGTGGAGTGCTTCGACTAGCGCTATAAACTTTCTCGGTACTCTTTTTACAGTCAGACACCTCCGCCACGATACCTCACGGTAGTCAGAGTCAAAAGCCGCCTTCAGGCAAAGAAATATGGCAGGTGTCAGCCACTAACCGGTAAGTATTCCTGTGTTCCAGAACCTGTCGGAGGGTGAAAATCTGAACGATGCACCCTCGTCTAGGTCTAAGACCTGCCTGGTTTTCTCGAGTTTGCCGTTCTGGAGCTGCACTTAGGTGTCGGATAATTATAGACCGTAGGATGGGGGATACAACGTCAGAAAAAGATTTCTCTCCTTTCTTATAGACAATCTGACGGAACTACTTCTGATTCTGACACACTATATGGTATCTCCAACACTCTTATCAGCAGTTTTCTACCTTTAACCTTGGAAACGTTGGGTGGCAAACTGTCAGATTCCTCCATCGTTCCATGTTCGATACAGCCTTCTCAACTTCAAGAAAAGTTGGAGGACCGATATCTACGTCACATTCAGGTTCAGGCTGGATGTTGGCCAACTGAAGGGTTGCTTAGGGGTAGCTAAACTGGACTTCATAGTGTTCTGTCCGGTGTTATAGTTGCCTGTCCTAAGAGTTTATCAGAGTTCCATCTTTTTTAGTGATTGTTTCACTCACCATCCTCTTCTTCTTGCCGATATCCTTAATAAGCCTAATTAGTTGCTGTGTTACCTAATACTGATATTTTCTTCATATTGGTTTTCACGAACTTTCACATATTTAGAAGGCCCATAGTAGTGCATATATTCACTGGATTCACCTACTCAAGGTTTCATATGGTAGGTAGACTGTTACATGCCCGACCGATAGCTACCACCTTGACGTGGTGGTCGGGCTTGCATATCACAATGACCCAACTAGCTATGCTGGTGGAACACTTGTTCCCTCGAGGTCCTTCCATACCAGAAAGATTTGTTGGATAGTGGTTAGACAAAAAGCAGTTACCATTGTGGTGTGAATTACCACACTGTGATGGGGGTCTGAGGGCGAAGTAGTACTGCTGTTAGCTAGATGGGGTGTGACAGCAGTAAGGTGTTTCTTTCGGATGGCCAGTATTGCCATGCTGATTCTGCCTTCCCAATGGAAGGGAGGGTAGTTTAGAAAAGGTTGGCCCCAAAAATAACACACTCCACCATGCCCCACTGTCTGCCGGGCCAGCGGTGTTGGTTCATTTGTCGTTTCTTTTCGACCATCTGGTCCCGACTGAACGGCACGGTGGGAACTAGTAGGAATAGTGAGACTCGCCGTTGTCTCTTTGTAATCTCTGCTTACGCACCCACTGACTGCAGCTCGGATGAAGTGAAGGACGAATTCTACCGTAAACTGTCTAGCCTTCTCTCAAAAGCCAAAAGTTCAAGCGTGGTGGTTGTTGCAGGTGATTTCAATTCACAGGTGGGTAGACTGAGTGAGATAGAAAGGCACTTAGGTGGCACTTTCTGAGTCCCGGCTGAATGTACAGATAACGGTGATCGCCTATTACAACTATGCTCAGATAATCGCCTATTTTTATCTAGCACAAATTCCAGACATAAAGAAAGACACTGTCTGACTTGGTGTCTACCGAGATCAACTCAGCGATGGACACAGATAGACCGCATTGGCACTAGTCATCGCTGGAGAGGATCGGTGGAGGTCTGCGCTCCTTCTGGAGTACATGCTTAGACAGTGATCAGGCGCTGGTCCGAGCGCATATATGTCTGCATCTCAATGGAAGTAGGAAAAATTTGGCAACAAAACCACTAGGATTACTGCTGGACAACGAAAACACCGAAGCTGTGTTCAGTGAAAAGTTGGCTAGGCAGTTGTCGGAACAGAAGATAAACCACTCATCCAGAAGAAGCTTGGTGCCATCTCAAGTCTGCTTTAAATGCAGCGTTGAAGACCATAGCCGACTCCAAAGTAGTGGCTAAAAAGAGCCAGTGGATATCAACAGCTTCTTCTGAACTGATGGATGCACGTGAACGCATCCCTGCAGGCTCTGAGTACAATAAAGAGCGGGCTCAACTTAAAAGTAGACTGAGAAAAAGTCTACGCAACGACCATGAACAGTGGTGGGCAGCGGAGACTAAAGAGATGGAGAAGGCGGCGGTGATCGGTAATATTAGACAGTTATTTAGACTTATTAAGGAGACTGGAGAGAAAACGTTGACCGTGGTTAGTGAGACCATAGGGGTGAAGGACGGATCTGTGATTCACTTTCAGGGGGACGACCGGAACGATGGGCAGAACACTTCGAGGAGCAGTTTAATTGGCCTCCAGCCACCATTGTGTTGCCCGTCATCCAGTCGGATCCTGAATGGAACATTGAGATAGGCCCCTCAACATTTTCAGAAGTCGAAAAAGCGGTAGGTAACCTTAAACAAGGGAGGGTAGCAGGTCCAGACGGACTACCTGCTGAGGTATACAAGGATGGTGGTGGAGTGCTCTTAGTCAGGTTAACGGAAGTGTTAGCTGGTGTATGAGAATCAAATACGATCCCCGCTGACTGGTCTAAGTCACTGATTATCCCAATCTTCAAGAAAGGCAAAAAGTCCTCTTGTGATAACCATAGAGGAATCAGCCTGAAGAACATAGTGTCTAAGATTCTAGGTTCTATAATTCTTCGACGCCTGAGTGGAGATCAGGAACAGCAGTCTCGAGAAAATCAAGCAGGCTTTAGACCTGGCCGCAGGTCTATCGACCAAATATTCACACTGCGCCTGGTTTCGGAACACAGACAAGCTTACCAGCCCCAGACACTGGCTGTATTTCTCTACGTGAAGGCGGCATTTGACTCCATTGATCGAGAAGTCTTATGGCAATATCTCTCACTGAAAAATGTGCCGGGTAAGTACATCACCTTGTTGAAAGCTCTATACTTGAACACTTGCGGGCATGTTACAGCCTATGGCGAGATGTCCAGGGAGCTGTGCTCATTGATTGGTGTCCATCAAGGATGTCCTCTGTCTCCATTCTTATTCAATTTGATGGTAGATATTCTTATGGAGGTCTTCCTGTCGTCACCAGGTTACACAGACATTGACCTAATCACAGGAGAATTTTCGTTAGATATAGAGTATGCAGATGACATAGTCAGTCCTGTTAAGTGAAGACACTGACAAGATTAAGAGTCTTCTGAACACTTTGAGTGGGAATTTGAGAACGTTTGGAATGCGGTTCTCACCACCGAAATGCGAATTGCTGCTCCAGGATTGGTCTTCAACGGTGCCCCAAAGCAACTAACAATAGAGAGTGAAGTGGTTGGGTGTGTTGACCACTTCACTCATCTAGGAAGTAGGATCAGCCCTGGTGGCTCAGTGGCCGGTCAAACCTCTGCACGAATACAAAAGGCTCGATTGGTTTTTGCCGATTTACGCCACCTATGGCGCCGCCGTGGTATACGATTGTCTATCAAGGGTCGCGTGTAATGAACAGCAGTTCGGTCTGTTCTGTTATATGGCTGTGAAACATAGCCATTGAAGGCGGAATATATGAGAAAGCTTCAAGTGTTTGACAGCCGTTGCCTTCGTAGTATAAGACGTATTCCGCGGTGTCACCAAGTGAGTAATGCAGAAGTCAGGAGTAGAGCTTTAGGGAGAAGAGGTAAGTCGGTTGACGAGTTTATGAACCATGATCGACTGAGATGGTTGAGACACGTGTTACGCATGCCTAGTCACCGATTGCCTAGTCACACAATGTTGTCTGAATTAGGTTTAGGCTGGAAACAGGCCCGAGGTGGCCAGACTAGTAAAACATAGCACCAATGTATGAAGTCTGTGACTGTTGGTTTGAGCCATGTGGGGCGATGCAGAGTAGGTGGTTGGGGTGCTAATAACGAAGGAAATTGTACATTGTTAACTAAAATATTGGAAGGAAATTACTTATTGTTGCAAAGTTGACAAGTGAGTTCTGTTCATACACGTTTTTCCTCATATAATATGCGTGCAAAGTAAGGCAAAGTTGAATTCTTGTATTTAGCTGTACCAGCGTACAGTCTTATGGGATTTCTTCTTGTCCTTCCTGAGTAGATACATAGAGAAAACAGTGAATCAAGTGGATAATCAGTGTCTGTTAAAATTACTGTAGTAAGATTTTAAATGTCTGTCGACTGCCGTAGTAATCAGTCTAGCCACAGGCATAGCACTCATCCCACTGACGGGTTTAAAAGCCTTACATAACATAATGATTTCTAATAGACCACAAATAGATCAACGAGGAACAATGTAGTTGAATAGGTAATATGAAGGAATTGAAAAATTGTAAAAGTAGAGGGCGTGTTATATCAGAGATCTTCAGTTTCTGTAGATAATAAGTTAAACGAAAAAAAATTTTAAAGATCAGGAAGATATGACACGACCAACAAAGATCAGAAGTAAAACTCAATCCAAGATATTTAACACTCGATATACTTCCCACAGAAGTACAATCAGCACATTGGGAGTCATGGAACTTAAGCAGTTCACAGAAGTTTTGTTTACTCTTCGGGCTAAGATTAACAATCTAACACTTAGAAGGGTTTAGCTTGAGACGGTTTGAGAGAGATCATTGGTCAATAAGAGACAAGAAACCATTTAATTCAGAGCAATCTAAGTGTGAGTTGACTGGTATACAAGCCGTCATGTCATCACTATACTTTATAATATTATTTTAAACGGAATAAAGTAAATCATACAAAAAAAACGAAAACAGAAAAGGAGAAAGTACTACACATTGAGGCACACCAGCTTCATTAAGCTGCAAAGTGGAGCATCTCCCTTTGTAAATAATACAAAGTGCTGACAGTTACTACATTCATCTTCCAACTTCTGATCATCAGATAACTTGCTTTCACTATCCTTTTACTCACTTATCTAACTAATGCAGACTCATAAAGTACAAAAAGGTAAAATTTACAGTTAGTAACATTCAAACAGTAAACTCTCTTGTGAGTACAGCGTCGTTGAGTAATGATTCAGTTTACTACAACTCATGTTAATCCATCAAAATAGAAATTATTAAACTGAGAGATATATAAATAGGCAGAAAAGTAATCGAAAATAAAAGAATGTTATTAGAGAAGATAAAGAGGTGATAAATTGTTTAGTGATGAATAAGACACCAAAAAGAAGCCATAGCCAAACACTTCTAAACTCAGAATATGATAAACGGAAGTAAAATACTCATTGACGTATTACATCTTTCTCACTTTGTTATGCTATAGTACTGAGTCATTGATCTGAATCATAAGCATCTCTTCTTCAATAATTCGGATAGATTATTAAGAATTTTACTAGTGATTTATTAATATTTGCAATCTCTTATTGATTATTACTCTGTGAACTGAATTATTAAGTATCTACTGACAAATGGTCTACTGTGTATTTGCTTAAATTTCACCTCAATATTCATGATATGCCCCCTCTTGATGGCTAGCAGTGGAATCTGGGATCTAGGTGACTATACACTCCCTAGCCTAAGGGATAACGCTGTGATGTTTGGGGAGATAGGTGGTGATTTTGATCAACAATGAGAACATTATCAATCACAAGGAATATAATGTTGAAGCATCTCAAACACGACAAAAGACGAGTCCTAGAGAAGACAGAACTGATGAAGATACCCAACCGACAACAACAACAACAAAACACCAATCACCATCAATAGGAGAAACCTAAAGGAAGTAGACTCCTTCACCTACCTACACAAGGCAGCATCGTTTCAACTGCAGGCGGCACAGGCACAGATGAGGATGTCAAAACCAGCCAGGATCGGAAAGACACATAGATAGGCCTTCCTTCTTCAACCTGAAACCAGTGTGGAGATCTTCTACACTCAGCATAAATTGTGAACAAGATGCGGATTTTCAACACCAATCCAGTCAAGTCAGTGCTTCTGTATGGCTCAGAGACTTGGCACGTTACGAAAGGCATTTCCAACAAACTACAGACATTCATCAACAACTGCCACCTACACTGGCTCGTTACTGAAGATGAGATGGCCAGAATCATAAGAATGAGTAAGGAGGAACTTTGGCTGGCTGGCTGTCTGGCAATGAACCAACCAGAAACCTATCGCCCAACAAATATGCACTGGAAGTAAGTGGAGATTGATTGGATTGGATTGGGCATACAGTGAGAAGGGTGACTGGGGACATCACGTGTCAGGCCAGGCCGTCGAGTGGGACCCAAATGGGAAACTATGAGTTGGGTGTTGGAGGTGAGGGTGAAATGGGGGAGATGGTGTGAGTAGGAAATGAGAGGTTGTGGGCTGTCGTGCAGGCAGGTTCAAAGGATTGAAGAGAACAGAGTGGAATGGAGGTGTGCTAGTGAAGCTCTGTATTCCATTAGGAACCCGAGGGACAAATAATAATATAATAATAGATACCACAGCTAGTTACCACGAAACCAACTTACTCCAGGTTACTTCATTTGTTCTCATGATAAATACAGTTTTTTTAAACTATCGGAGTACATGAACAAAGGTAACAACTGATATCATACCGAGGCTTCATAAGGATAATGAATCAACCAAATATGTGCAATGCTTACTTAGAATGATTTCTTGAATAATTACTATGCATTTTTCACTGCTATTATTTACTTTTTTTCAAACTTTTTAATTATTTCAACTGAAGATGGATGAATTTGTTATAGAAGCTGTTCGATTAGGTGCAATTAAGAAAATTTGTATTGGTCATGAAGAAAGAACACCAGGACTTGGCTGGTATTTAGCTAAAATTGTATTAAGCATAAAAGAGAATCCTAAATACAAGTTGACCTTTGAATGTTATCGGTAAGTGATGGAAAGGGGATTTTTATGTTAACAGTTTCCAGATATAAAACAGGGTTACATAGAATCATATTAGTTTATTAGTTAAACGGTTTTCTCTTCAAAAGAAAACCAGAAAATGTAAATATAAATCTGGATATAAACAATTTTTAAACACTTTAAAAATCCTTCTATTTACAAGTGTAATATATTTGTCAAATCAGAATGAAAAGTAGAAAAATTATTTTGTAACTTTGCGTAACGTCTTGTAAGTCGTTACTTTATAGCATAAAACCTGTACAAGTTATCACATGTTTAAATAGTAAATAGAGACGAATCAGACCACGTTGTTCACACATGATAATAGTAAGGGAATAAGTATCAACATTATCAGCGATTAGACCACTACTTCAAGGTGAAGATGTGAATATTTGTGCACTGGCGAATTGGTGAATGGATGAAGAATTCAGTTTGTATGTGTGGATATACTTTAGTGATGATTATCGTACATGATATGTTCTTTTTGGATGTACTGTCCAAATTGGTTGGATAGTTAGACCTTTTATACAGTTGAGTGCATTAATATTCAACATGATGAGAAATGCCTCAGTTATCTATCTTTTTCTGTACTTTGAAAATCCTTTCTGAATACCATCTGGAGGTTTGTGGAGATTTCATTAATTACTATTTGTTTAAAATTGATCATGGACTGACATCAGTTAAGGGAACATTGGAAATCTGGGAGCACTGGAAAGCTGTTTAGCTCTAATATGGAGCTCCTCAGCAGGGCGCACCCACCACCCCACCCCACCAGTAATCAGACGCAGGACCCTCAGGTTTTGTGGTTAGCATATTATCGTTGAGCCACTAGATAGGAATTCTTTCTGAATAATTTTATTATTTTCAATATAAGTTTTGTGATTATGATAGATGGCATGAACAACGCTTGCCAATTTGAATGTAAATTCGCTTGTTTTACAGGATTATTTGGAAGTCTTTTGTGTAAATTGCCTGTTCTTTAGTGCAAACGAGGATGCGGCGGTATGATTTTCAAATATAATAGGTATCAGAATCAACACAGCCTAATCTGTAGATATGTTTCTGTGTGTAAGTAAAAGGAATCCTATCTTTCACATGAATTAAATCATTCCTGGGAATGTTGTTTATCTTGTATAAAGCTCTAAATCGGTGCTTTCTTGGAATCCTCTGAAGCTCTTCAGTTTTACTTTGGTGAAATGGTAGAACTACCGTAATTTCATAATACTCTCCTAGCCTAATTAATACAGTAAGACAAGTCTGTCTACTATCATCGATGATCATCCTGATTGTGGTCGACTGCATCGTGCAGCAAAGCGAAAGGAGCGAGAAGATGGGCATACGCTGGCTGGACCGATGAAAAGGTCACAGAAGATTTGGGTTTCGCCGATGACTTCTGTCTGATGTCACATAAAATGGAAGATCTACAGGCGAGAACTAACAAGTTGACAGAAGAGGCAGCGAAGACGGGACATGCTTCAAGTGAACGTGGAGAAGACAGAGGTGATAAAGATATCCAGCCAACAACAACAACAACAAAAAACACCAATCACCATCAATAGGAGAAACCTAAAGGAAGTAGCCTCCTTCACCTACCTACACAAGGCAGCATCGTTTCAACTGCAGGCGGCACAGGCACAGATGAAGATGTCAAAACCAGTCAGGATCGGAAAGACACATAGATAGGCCTTCCTTCTTCAACCTGAAATCAGTGTGGAGATCTTCTACACTCAGCATAAAGTGTGAACAAGATGCGGATTTTCAACACCAATCCAGTCAAGTCAATGCTTCTATATGGCTCAGAGACTTGGCACGTTACGAAAGGCATTTCCAACAAATTACAGACATTCATCAACAACTGCCGCCTATACTGGCTCATTACTGAAGATGAGATGGCCAGAATCATAAGAATAAGCAAGGCGGAACTGTGGCTGGCTGGCTGTCTGGCAATGAACCAACCAGAAACCTATCGCCCAACAAATATGCACTGGAAGTAAGTGGAGATTGATTGGATTGGATTGGGCATACAGTGAGAAGGGTGACTGGGGACATCACGTGTCAGGCCAGGCCGTCGAGTGGGACCCAAATGGGAAACTATGAGTTGGGTGTTGGAGGTGAGGGTGAAATGGGGGAGATGGTGTGAGTAGGAAATGAGAGGTTGTGGGCTGTCGTGCAGGCAGGTTCAAAGGATTGAAGAGAACAGAGTGGAATGGAGGTGTGCTAGTGAAGCTCTGTATTCCATTAGGAACCCGAGGGACAAATAATATTAATAATAATTACTTGAATAATACGATCATTAGTTTGGAAGTACTGAAAGTAAGTTTAGAAATGTTGATTTGTAGACTTTGAAAAGAGAAGAGAACCTCATAAGGACCCAAGGAAGGCTTTTAATTAATTTTTTTATTCTAAATAACATTCCTAACGTTTTGATATAATGAAGAAATGCAGAGTGTACGTATAGTTAACTATATGTTCAAGGTAGTATGTTTATTAAACCAGAAGCAGCCCGATGAATCGGTGCAAAAAAAATCGAAAAACCATCAGTAACCCTACGAATATTAGTGCAGTAGACAATGAGGCACATCTACTTTGTGAGAACAAATGATACTACCAGGTATTTAAAACCTCAGCAGGTGAAGTGACGTTCAAAACTGTGACTCACTTGTTGAAAGTGGACTGCTTAAACCCATGAGATAATGCATTATAATGATAGTGCTATGGAGGTTCCATGACTGAGAAGCGTTCTGAAATATATAAAAATTATAGGCTTTGTGAATGAATTTCATAGGATAATCATAATTACGATTGTGTTTTATTACTTTGGAAGGCATAATTTAACATAGTGTATTGTTTTGAATATTGAGTATGCTGTTATTACAATGTTGCTAGAATTATTCATTGGTATTTCATATAAGATAATTTGGTACACATTGGGACTTCAAGTTCGTAACCTGTCATGTGAATGATGGTAATCGTGATCACGTGGATACCGCTTCTTGTGTTTATAAACGAAGTTGACTGTCGGAAAGACTTGTAGCTCAGAATAACGATGATAGTGATTTAGTGTTCTCCAACTGTGTTGATGTCAACTTGGATGTTAAGTAGCCAGGTTAGGTGAATTCATCAGCTTTTAATTCATTACCAATTTCAAGCTGCTTGAATGTTTTTACAAGATATTTGATGGCCTGGAGCATTACCAGCTTGTGGGTAGAAACGAATGTTTTTATCACTTACTGACCCTGTTAACTATTTTGAATGTCTGTTATATGCTGTTTACCTCATGTCCAATTTTTACTTATCTGGCTGATCTCGACTCACCTGATCCATTCTTAGTAGTCCGCATTTTGGGTCATTGTTCATGTGCCTGTTGCTTGTCATCTAACTGGACTATCTTGTTGCCAGGACTTCTGTTGCATTTTTTGAGTTTGTATGTAGCAGTATTTGCCCATAAATCCAAATTAGTCATCCTATTTCTTGGGGATAAAATGTTAACTATTACAGACAAGCAGACGGGAAGAAAGACGGGATAGTATAGAATCTCATACAAAAGTAAACTGGGTTCACTATTCTACTATTTTGAAAAACGACAAACAAAGAGCAAATCAGATCATACGGCGTATGAATGCAGAGGCAATAAAGAAGTGAACTACAATAAAGTGTAAAAAAACTTGCAGAATAACAAATTTTGAAAACACTAGTTGAATACATCTGGGGTATTAAATAGTGGGAATCATTGGTTGGATACTCTAGGTTATGTGGATTCAAATCTGTTATATACCCCTAATTTTGTTTAGTCTTTGCCTGATATTTACCTATAATCGCTATTTTTACACGTTGCTAGCTTTCGTTTTCCCACTGCTCGAAAGGATATACTCTCATTGGTTATTAACTCTTTTAGTCTAAATGTGGGTTTAATGTTGTCAAGGTCGTTTAGAAATTTATATATTATGCGTTTCTCTCAACTATTTTGACTGTTGTTAAGACAGCTAAAGCTCTCTGTCAACAGTCTGTCTTCTCTTTTTGTCTTCGCATGTCAGTGGTATTGTTGTGGTGGTGGTTGACGTTCTGATTAGCGTCTAGAGTTGATTAGTTTGCGCGTTAGGTTCGTATTGCTTGTAGACTGCTAGGTCACAGTACTGATGTTAGCAAAATCAGTAATGCAGATGTAACCACCCGTTGCCTGATTAATATTCGAATATTTTAGTATATCAATTTTACTGCTTCCTATTCTATTATGTCTGAATTCCTGTTAGTTATTTATTCTTTTGTAATGTGTAGCCCATCTACTGGGGATGTGCATCTAGTAATCCACAGCATCTCAATGAGCTATAGCCAAGATACTCAAGCTTCTTTACAGACATTTGAAACTCAGTAAAACATTTCAGTGTTCAATTTCCTATACTAGTTAAGTCATCCTAATTTTCATCCAACAGTATGCATAATATGAAACGAACTAAAGCAATAACGGAAATCAAAGCAGACAAGTGTGAGAATCTAGGAGAAACGGAAACAGACATAACTAATCCAGTTTGAAAATCCAGTGAATCGACACACTTATGCATCAAATAATTAACAAGTAAAGAGAAAAAGACTCCGTAACTAAGGTTTACTTAAACAGTTACTCTTTTCTATAAACTTCTACAAAACAGAAAAGGAGATGTAGTTTATCTGCAATGTGTAATACATTCCAAAAATATGGACCATTGGAATCTGACCTATTGATTCAAGGATAATGTGCTTTCCATGAGACTTCAGGAAAGACTGGGTTTGATCTCTGATGGGGTTGTGGATGTAGACAGACAGACAAAGTTAATATAGAACCTCGAATGTAAGTCTGTCGGTTCAAGTTGTCACACTTCACAGTAGTACACAAAGAATAGGTGGATAGAAAAGGAGCGATATAGAAGTAGACAAAGTTATGTGACAGAATAAACGATATAAGGATAAAGGTTAATGTGAATATTCAAGCTTCAGAAGATGTCGAAGGG